CGACTTCTTCATGTCTGTTTGTCTCCAGAAAACAATTCCAGTGATAAAAATCCAACTATTATTTTTTTGTAGTCGATTAGTTATGATTATCCAATTGATCGTGTAGCCCAACATTCACACCAGTTTAATGTCATCTTGTCTTTTTTGAAGCACTACTATTTGATTATTCACAGTCAGAGTTGCACCAAAGCGTGAGGCCGATAAACACGCTCATTAGTGCTTGGGCTGAGTGCGTGGTAATAGCACTGCATTAATGGTGGTATTTTTTCATTTGTTGTGTCCTGCGTGACACTTTACAAGAGCTGCCACTGTGGAGCACCGGACCGAAGCCCAGCAGCAGATGTTCCACCATTTCAAACATGATCCATCCCCAAACATAAAACTCTGCTATCACTGCTACAAGCGCACTGTTGTTGGGATAGCACTTGTATGGCAGTTTGTGGGCAAAAAAAGTTTCTCAGAGTACAAAAATGTAAGGAAGCTAAGGTAAGTATACAATGTTCTATCTGAAATGCTTGAAAAATTTACATGCATCAGGGCATTTTTTTCTGGCAAGTTAAACCTTCATTTAACAAAATAAAAAAGTGTGGTGTGGTCCTGCTGGGTAACAGCTATGAAATTATCTATATGTGCACTGCTGCCCATGTCCAACTATTATAAACTTCACAAAAGAAAGAAAAAGAAATAGATCAAACTTGGTAAGATTTCATTATAATTAAGTTAACTATGTTTTAGTGAACTGAGTAATCTTACCTGTCAAAAAAGAAAATGTTTTGTTAAAAAAGCTTTGTACAATTTGTATTATCACAGCCAAAAGTCGGGACCTGTCTTGCTGGTTCGCACAAAAAGATGATTCACAACGTTGAACTTTTATAATCTGTTAAAAAAAGTTATTCAATTTCGGAGTAGTCAGTTTTTGATTTAAATACCAGTATCTGAATGGTGTAGGCAGTATCTAACAAAGGCTATTTAAAAAATTACTTGTAAAACATGCCCCATGCTGTATTACTGGCATGGCCCAAGGACTTTGTGGTTAAAGGAAAAATGAATAAATTTAACAGACAGGTCTGACAGTACTGCAGTGCCATTTAAAATAACAACGTCAACAACAACATCAAAAAAACTTGAACTTGAATCTCCGTTCAGTAATTCCATTATCATAATACACTGCTAGGACATTGAGAGCAAAGACTGTTTTAGCTGTTCTTACACCTGAGGTAGATGAAAACAAAATATGTATCTTTATTAATCCTGGAGAAATTCAAGATTTCGGTGTTGCTTGCCATGTTTTTTTCCAGCTGTATATACTAGGGTTGTCAAAAGTATTTAAAAAATCTGATACTAATTGATATTAAACCAGTGTTGAAACTAGATACTAATTTCAGCAGGTATCAATACTAAAAACGTCAGTCATACTACAGAAATTACCCTTTCCTGAATAGCTTTAGAATGACCTTGAAAGGTATCAGAACTAGTGTAAGACCCCATAAACTAGTATACACACATGGACCACTGTGGAACCTACCTGCATGACTCAAGTATTACAAAGATATAACACCTCATGATAAAATTCAAGAAAGTACTATGATTTAATGTTAAAAATTACATTCTGTCATATAGAGTCTCTTCTTTTGTATTGAAATCAAGTTTGAAATTTTAGTATCTACTACTTTGCACAACTTACCTACTGTATACTGTTTTCTAGTTTTCATTCATTCATTTTGATATTATTTCATAACATTGCAAGCCATCCAACAAGTCCACCAGAAGGACACAGCCTCCTTAGCTCATAACAGCGTACATCTGGTTCCATATTTCCTTAAACGAGTTGTACTCGCCCAGAATTTTTCCACCTTGAGAAATATGGCCTTAAATGAATAGCTCATTTCCAACCTCAGTGATGTATTTGCTCTAGATGACTCCTGGAGCTTCTTTTAATATCGCCACGGCAACCTCATGGGACACGGCGCTCTCTCCATTTACCCGGGAATCAGTCTTCCCTAAATTTAGGTCACTCTGCTGTGGTAACCAAAGCCCTGTCTGGAGTCCTATTACTTAAGCACCTCTCCGATCGATGAACCAATGTATTATTCAACAGCATCTGGTGGCGTGCACTGGAGTTTACTCACAGTTGTTGTCAATGGCACAGAATAAACATTGTCTTTATTTCCAAGCATTTCTATTGATGTGATCTGGTCTGAACTCAGTGGCTTTATTGTGGTTGTCTTTGAAAGTGTCTTAAGTCACTGTCTGTGCTATGACTCTCCATGTAACAGAAGTAGCAGGGTCTCATCTGTAATGATTTGGTAGAAAATGTCAAGATTAATTTGTCAGTCAATAAATGTGATTATTCAAATCACACTATTGAAGAAAATTACAATCTCAGTAAATGTAACAATCCACATTCACTTTATCATTCAGAAAGTTTGATTTCCTAAATGTTGTCACCCACCAGAGGAATTGTAGTTTATTAATGAAAAGTGAATAAAAAGGGGCAGCATTTTGATTTGGAATAGCATAAAAGTGACCTATCTGTGTCCACAAATATGAGGTAGACATGTTCAAATCAAATATAGCTTTTATTGATTGATTTTAATAGAGATGTATTCGTAATTAAACTCATATGTTGGCCAACTTTTTTCTTTTCTTTTTTCCAGAATGAGCTTCGCACAAGTAATTTGAGTTGACAGTGTAATTGCTGAAATCCAATTGCTTTTAAATCTAAAATGCCTAAAGGTTCTGAGCTTGAAGCATGGCCTGTCCGTTTACTGAAAATGAGGAAAACGTGTATGTGTCCTTCATCTGCAGGTTAAGGCACTGGCTGCCCAGCTTCAGTTGTGATTGTAGTTATTTCTTTAAAGCAGTAAGAGTGCAGGCTTCATACAGGTTTGCCATAATCATGTTGTCATTAATCATGAGTAATAATAAAAAATGTTACAAGTTTTTTCTCATAATAATTTAAAACAATTTAGAGGCAGAAAATAGAATACAGCTACCAACTAATGATCTGTCAAAACTAAGTTAACTTTAAAAGGTGAACATTTTCAAAGTAAGTTGGAGACGTAATGTACTGTTCAATGTGAAGTGTGACAAAAGGTTGTTAACTGTAACACATCTTTGCATTGTTATACTGAGTTCCAAGAAATGGAAAATAAAAATATTTCTTGGTTCACTTAATTGCTAGTTAGTCTGTTATAGGAGCTTGGGGCTGGGCAATTTTCAGTTGGGAGGGGTTCAGTAATACATTTTAAAAATAACTCGCCCAGGCTGGTTCAAAAGAAATTTCTCTGATGTAAATGTTAACTGCAGCTATGTAAATCGATTAGTTTTATAAATTATTTTCCAGTGAAATGCCCATATATTTATGCAAAAGTTATTCCATAATAGTTACCTAGCAACCATCATGTTAAAAATTACACAATAGTTATGATTAGACTAATTAAAATAAATGGTTTGACCTTTATTTTTGAAGGTTTAACTATCAGAAAAATCACTTCCTTTTGCTCCAATTGTTCATGCATTTTGGCTAGAATTTTCTGTGCTGATGATGTAATCCATTTTATAACTCTACTCCCTGTATTTTTGTACTTTTTTTTCAATTATATTTTCCGCAAATTGCCACTCAGTTATTGTAATGATTAATGTATGCTAAATATTTTCCCAGCCACTCTCCCACCAAAACAAATAATCAGAACAGCATGAAAATCTCTCATTTTAATGTTGTTTAAATTCCACCCCATGCTTGCGTTGCATTATATCACTAGTATTTATTAGACCTATGAGCTATGCAAAATCCATACATTGTCAAACCCTATTAGATATCCCTCCTTCACTGTCTAATAAAAGCAAAGGAAGCACTTTGTAATATTGGCGTGGGAGTCAGTATCGACATGGCATTTTGGTGGCATTATGAAGGTGCTTTAATAATGGGTTATTGTGTTGTAACAGCATCAAATCATACATCATCCCCTGTATTAGGCGCAACACTGCACAGATTGACTGAACCGTGCAAAAAGTTTATTAAGGTGAAGAGAAAATGTGATATAAAATGCTTGATAATGTTCCAGGCTGAGAACACGTTGTGGTACAGATTGTGGTTGATCATTAAAACAAACAAATTTTTTTTTACTTGTACCTGAGAAGTATGTTTGTTACAAAAGCTAGTCATACTATTTTAAACTTTACCATACATTTTTGAATTTCTCTATGCACCTAAAACTTAAGAAGAGGCTTGAATATTTGTTATCTGCATTATTGCGATCTATATCACAGTGCAAAATATGCAGTCTAGGCTCTATACATCTCGACTTGAAACGACCATATTCTGTATATTATTTCAGTGGTAAAAGTTTGATTAACTAAGCCACTTTGATTAAGAAAGTTATTACAAATCTGTCAAAATGATTTACTTTCTTTCATGTTAGCTTGGGACTGTACATAATTCCCACATTTCAGATAAATAAAACTTGTGAAAACATATTTTTTGTAGTTTTGCTCTATTTGGTTGTAGCTCTGGTCTAGTCCAGGCTTACTTTCAGGTTTAGTCCCAGATTATTTGATGCAGTGTGTATGTAAATGTGAACACATACACTTTTAACTAAAACACAGGCACAAATACATTGAAAATTATTTACTGACTTTCATGTACTGTTCAGTACATGAAAGCTGGAACAATATATTTTTGGATTCAGTATTTATCATAAAATTTTCTTTCCCTGTTAGTGATACTGTCTAATTTAAAAAATGATTTACTGGGATTATCTTCCTTTATTGTTATTGTATCAGTGGCATTAAGTAGTTTCAGTATTATTATTTATCGCAGTATCTCTATAGCAATATATATAGTTTAAAATGTGTTGCCTAGCAACAGCTAATAATAATAATGCTATTTTAGTTTGTTTTATTGTGTACAAGTACATAAAATATATTGTTTTCTGTTCTAACTACATTACCCATATTGCATTGCTAACCTCTACAACTAATGTATTACTTTCCTTCAGATTCACAGACAGTATCGCCAACATCCTCCCCATGTTCCTTGTGCTGGCCTTCATTTACACAGTGTGCATGACCATCAAAAGCATCGTACTGGAGAAAGAGCTCCGCCTCAAAGAGGTTCTCCGTGCCATCGGCGTCCAAAATGGCGCCCTGTGGGCTGCCAGGATTACTGAAAGCATCCTCCTCCTCAGTATCACCTGTGCACTTATGACTCTGATGCTTAAGGTCTGTAGATCCGCAAAGTAAATACCAAAACGCAAGGCAAGAATAGGTTGAGTTCACGTGACTTCAAAACATTTTCAAATTATTATAGTTTAAAATTTAGCTGGAGTTCAGGTCCGAATGGTGGAATTTATTATTCAACTGTCAAATTACAGATTTGTTGATTTGGTTTATGATTAATATCTCTTTATTTACTGAGCCTATCTATGTGAAACACAAACATACACAAAATTCGGCCTCTGTACCATCAGTATAATATATATTTTTTCCCCAATGACCTCTGAAATTGGTGCCATTATTCAACTCTTTAAGCCATGAAATTAATATTGCAGGTTTGTGGACCCAGTTCCTAACAAATAATGATACATTTCAGCATTTGTAGATCAGAAGTTTGGATATTTGAAAAACAGCAAATCTCCCATATTTACATAGACCTTTACCCACCATTTGAGATTATGACTTCATCAAATTGTAGTACATGAACACAACCTACACACTGCAAAATCTTTGAAATTCACATCTTTTGTGAAACGATTTATTTTTACAAAAAAACAAGTGTCAACAAGTTCAACAAACCACATAATCACATCGGTCATTAAGTCAAAGGCTTCTTGCTTCTGCGATTTGGTATTTTGCCTCCATGTTAATCATCGCTAATAAAAAGAGCTCTGGATCCAATCATTATCCATAATTCGTTAAATCATCTTTCTGGTGCTTAATTAAGTGTGCATCAACCCAAATCCGCAATTAAGTCAAATTAACGTCATGCCAAGCCGTATGTGGCCTTTATTTCCCTGCGCTTGCATCACCTCTTCTCCTTCTGTGTTTGTAGAAAAGAAAACTCAATGCATGCTTGAACTGCTGTGATGATAATGAATAGGTTTTGTAACTGCAGACAATTTTCATTACTTTGTGTGGAATAGTAGGATGAAAGAGCATGATCAGCTGCAATTGTTGAGAATGCACTGATGTTACAAGCCTCATAATGTACAATGTTTAAAGAGCAGTATGGTATTACACGTCTACGGGGTATTAATAGATAAGACAGCATATTTAGATTGGCATGCTACCTTTATATATATATATTTTAATATGCTAGCTGCACTACATGTTGCTCTAAGTTACTCACCCTTCAAAGTGCTATTGCATCACACTCAACGCACATCCTGCTAATGGTACTACTGCACATCTCATCAGGTTTGTGAAGTTGTAGTGTATTGTTTTGTATTACTCATTACGTAAAGGTGTATGGGTGGAGCCTTGTATTAGAGGTGTGAGCTCATACTGCTAAGAAGGGCTTCTGTATAAAATCTCTTCAGGCATGTTTTTGATGAGGAAACAACGCTGTAAACTGGTAGAACACTCCAAAAAGTTGATTTTGCATGATACCGCCACTATAAAGCATTTTAAACTGAAAGGACACTTGTAAAATGCCAAATTGTCCACCATATCAGCGCTATAAGTCAGCCCATGTAAAGACCCAACATCGTCCTTTGACTTGTGTTCTGTAGACACCAATACGATCATAAGGGATGATCATTTCACGTAGCGCTAATCCATTTTTGCAGTTTAATTGGAAAATAGAAGCGGTAAATAAAAAGTGATATTTGAACAGCTGGGCGAAACGCAATTTCCCCATCAGCCTAATGTGTTTGCAAGTCATTGACAATTTGTAAACATTAATAACAATAAATTGAGTTAGCGGAGTGCCTTGGAGGAGTGGTGCGTGCACAGATAGTGGGGCCTGTTCTAAATGATAATTTCACAGGCATTTTCAGCGCATTAATAATGATGGCAAATCAAATTGTGATTACCATAAGACTGTGTCTGGATTAGGTATGACAACAATCAGGTTTGTCATGTGCACCTGAGCCCTCTGCCACTTTGCACTTGTTTTCCCTTCTATTATGAAGGAGGCACTGCGTATTATCCAATAGCCTGTAGTTCTCTTTAATGAAGGCTCTGTGGAAAAACATGGAATATGTTCTGTCAGTAAACCTTGGTGAAATGTTCTTGGCATTAATCAAATATGCAAGACATATATAAAACCAAATGGTTGCGCTGTATAATGAGTACACTTTAAAGGCCCCATATTGCTATTTTCTGATCTATCTTATGTTGTTTCCTCATCAAAAACAGACTCAGAGTTTTTTTTTTTTTAATTCACACATGTTTAACACACAAATCCTGCATATTTACTTATTTTCTCAAACAGAAAACTCTCTGTACCACTGTATTACAAGTGGTAATACAGGATGTGCTCCACTGTTTTTAATTCCATACCTTCGCTAGAATTACTTGGCGTCATGACATCAGAATGTGGAACAAAGCATTTTGTGCTCTGGAGATGTAGACAGACTCTTCTTAAAGGGTTACTCAAACATGTGTGAATGAAACAAAACACAACTCCAGGTATGTTTTTGAGGAGGACACTGCATTACAACATGTCTTAAAGCTCAAATGAGTAAGTATGGAGTAAGAAAGCTGTCAAAAATATTCGTGCGCATAAAATAGAAATCCGTGCGTATTTGGGAAATCCGTGCATATTTGGCTGTAGTTGCGCATAAAATAAATATTTGTAAACTCTCAAATGAGTCCAGTCGTACATAAAATATATTGTGTGTATTTTATCCATCAGAATACGAATTGAAAAATTACGACGTCATGAATTACAATCACGAAATGAAAATTTACGATTACGCTTTCATCAGTACGAATACGAATTCACAGACGGAACTTTACTGTCAAAAATACGTCATCACTTCACAGACATTATTCATCGAGCAGAAGAAACATCGATCAAGATCAAGACTGCGCATGCTCAAGTTTGTAGCAGAGGGTAAAAACAGAGAGTAATGGCACAAGAAGCTACAACAACGACCACGAATATTTTTGACAGCTTTCTTACTCCATAAGTAAGTATTTTATATAATATCTTAAATTGGCCTTAATAAAGTAAGAACATTATTTTCATTATAAGCAAATAGTTAAAAATGATTCAGGTTTTGTAACTACTTAATTAAGTCTTAGCAGTTGTTCGTTATCAATCATGCTTTATTTAGACTGTTAAAAGTGATCTCAAAAGTGCAGTGTCTTAAAAATAAATTTTATCTGATTATATTCTGAAATAAAGGATTCTACAGTATAAAAAGACCTGTACCCAATTTTGAACCACGACAGAGAAACTACTGTCTGGAACATCATCTCTGGTTGAATAAATGTGCCTGTACCTTGCTTCTGTACATTTAGCTTTTGAGAAGGTTAACAACAAATCTTACTTGTAAACGCTATAAAACACCATTTATGAGAGGGTTTTATTATTGGCAACATCAAAATCCACCCAAGCACATGAACGCAAGCAGCGAACTCTGACCTCTTATCCCAGAGTTTCCTGATTCCATGACAGCAGCTTTATAGGCGTCCAACACAGACTGCATATTATCCCATAGCCTGTAGTTCTCTTTAATGAAGGCTCTGTGGAAAAACATGGAATATATTCTGTCAATGTAAAGTCAATTGAAAAAGAGTCGATGTTCATGGGGGCATTGACTCTTTTACAATTGTCTTCACATGGGAAAATTGTCACCCCTCACCTCTGTATCTGCTGCAGTGAGCCTCGTCATTTTGGTCTTAAAATGTTTGTATTAACCCGCTCTGCATGATCCAGGTGTTTTTATTTTGTACCTGTAACTGCCAGCATAGTAAGCTTCATTTGACTGGAGCTGAAGGCTATGGGTGACGTCATACTCCCTTAGTCCACTTCTGTATAGAGTCTATCACCTCTACATAGTTCAAGCAGCAGCAGCATGTGTATGGGACATATTTTCAGAATTGAGTGTGCACTGTGCAAGAAAATGAAGAAGGGGGCAGATTAACATGTGATGGATAAGCGCTTTAATTAAATCCAAGCAAACAAAATGAAAGGTGTTGTAGAAATAATCTTGAACCAAAACATATGCTTATGGAGAAGACAGGGACCCTCTGTGCAATCAGTCTGTCTGCTGCTAATTAATGAAGTGCATCACATTAGTCATAGATCTTTATCTCACTGCACTCTTTTTTATTGCCTTATCTTCAACCAAAATTCCTAAAACATGATATAGTCAAGTGTATGTTTTGCGTGTCAGCCATAAGCCCCATTCACACATACAGTCTAACCTGGAAATGTACCTTTATTTTGCTAGAACAGGATCATGTGTGAACCAGGCCAGATCTGATTTGCATTTCTGATCTGGTGGGGAAATAAGGGAATACGCAGAGATGGCTAAGGTGTGAATGAAGCCAGGAGATTACCAGTACCACTGCTTAGTTTCTTTGGTTTCGAGTTTGGTTTCCTTATTTACAAGCTTAGTTTTCTGGTTACAGGAGAGCTAAATGCCGGCAATATTCTGAGATTGAGAGCGTGTGAAGGGCGGTCATTGCTAAGTGTAATACAAATAAAGTATTGTATTGTTTCAAATGTCTCCAAAATGTCCCCAACATAACATTTGGATTTAATTGACTCATGCTGAAATAGAAACCTTCAAAACACTCAATTGCAAACATGAACCTAGAATCCCCAGTCCCCTAAGATAATTTAAGATAGCTATATGATTTATGTGGCAAATTTGTGGAGCCAATCCCTAACAAATAATGATAAGGCTAAAGGAAATATTCAATTTGTCAACTGGACAAAAGTTTATTTGGTTCAATATGTTTCGCAACTCATCCAAGCTACTACTTCAGTTGGTCATTTTTATGCAGAATAAGACAGGTTATTTTGTTTGTTTGTTTTTTTGTAGAAGAAATTATGGTACAGTACTTAAAATGTAGTTTTTGCTATTTGAGTCCCATCAAATTGTGTTTTTGATTGTGATAAATCTTACAACCACTTTACCAACTACATATCAGTCTGTAATTAGGTGAGGTAAGGACCGATATAAGTCTATTATAAACCTACACATGTTAAACTTTACCATTATTTGTGTAAAATCCCTCAGTCATCCAGGTAGAATCCATGGCAAAATGAGCAATTAAATTTGTCAACTGGACAAAAGTTTAGTTTGGTTGTTATTAGCATAATCATCTGGGGCCATAATGAGTGCTTTAACACCTCTGGGTAAACAAGCAGTTTTGTTAGTTTCAGAGTAGTTTCATTGTAGCTCCTCCGTCATCTGACCAGAAGTGAAGAAGGAGCTTGGATGAGCTGTGAAATGACCAACATTGTCCAATTGACAAACTGAATTGCTCATTTTGCCATGGATTCTACCTAGACTACTGATGGATTTTACACAAATAATGATAAAGTTCAACATGTGTGGGTTTATGATAGACTTATATAGATCCTTACCTGACCTAAGTACAGACTGATATGTAGTTGGTAAAGTGGTTTCAAGATTAATCACAATCGAAAACACAATTTGATGGGATGCAGATAGCAATTCGCAGAGACAAAATTTTTTGAAGTACTGTACCATCATTTCCTCCACAAAAAAACAAAATGACCTGTCTTATTCTGCATAAAAATGACTAATCCTGTAGTTTACATCTGTACAAACATGTTCTTGTATTAGTTTGTCTGTTCCTGTTTCAGTCTTTATGTCATTGTCATATGTCATTAACTTGAATAAATCACGAATCTAATCGCTGTTCTTGCCGAAAAATTGCAACTGGATATTTTTAACAACTCTTTTTCCTCCATCTGGCTGCTCTTAGGTTCATGAAACGACTAAGCGTCTCCATCCCGATGTTCTTGACCCTTGGCTGGATTTATTCGGTGGCCATGATAGTTAAAAACATTGTGGTTGAGAAGGAAGCACGGCTAAAGGAAACAATCAGAATCATGGGCCTGAAGAGCTCCATCTATTGGCTGAGCTGGGCTGTGTCGTGCTTTCTGCCCCTGGCTTTAAGCGCTATGCTTCTTTCTCTGACCATGAAGGTGATTTCAAAATGATCCTGTTGATTTAAAGTGCATATGACAGGTTTTCATGCTTTTCTAATTATTACTTGGTTTGGGGGGGATAGTACTTGTGATAAATATTTATCTTAGTTTTATATCAGTTAAGTGGCAGTTTACGGAAAAAAACGAAGAAAATAAGAAAATTACAGGAAGTACATCCAAAATGGAGAGAAAATTTACATTCAAGGCAGACTTTTTTTCTGCCATTTTGAACATTAATTTACAAAATGTAGGCATTGTCCTTTATTTGTATTAGTCTAATTAAAATTGACGTGACAAGCTTTAACAACAAGCTTTGACCTTTTTTTAACATTATATGTGTAAGGTTAACAGTTAAAGTAAGTAAAATATAAACTTTAAATTATAAACCAAAGTTAAAACACTTAAAAAAACTAGGCAACTCTTTTAATACAATCTTAATTTTAGTGAAGTAGCCTAACCTATCATATGCACCTCGAGAAGGACTCAGCTTTACTATGAGTGGAGAGCTCCGACTATCATGTCTGACACTTGACAAAGCTATTATTGCACAATTTTAATCAAGATAATATAATTAAAATAATTTTTATGGTCCTACAAGCAGCATTTATACAATTGTCTACACATTCAATTAAACTCAAAATTAAATTATACAGATACAAGGCTGTGCTAAAGGAGATTGGTGTTCCTTAAATATTAACAAATACTAACAAAATATTTTTAAAAGAAACAAAGGCAAAATGCAATGTTTGCCAGAAAGATAAATAGAAACAAATAAACTTCACCTTGCAGTTGCTTTGCCTGAGTCTTCCAAATACTTTTAAAGTATTTGTTGAAAGGATTACATTACAGTTGTTTTATTGCTCAAAAATACCTTGAATAACATGTGGGACCACCTCTCCTCTTATCAGTAGTTGTTTTCATGGAGATAAAAAAATAGAAATAAATAAGATGGATAATGCTTCTTTAATTCAGCAATGCCATTATGCATTTTTACAATATTTGCAAAAGGAGATGTGAATACCTTTGAAACACAATATTATATTTGAAAATCTGCTGAATCCAAGTGAAAGGCAAACAGGGCCAACCAAAGTACAGCTGGGTTCTTCTTGTTTGGAAAATCTTTTTCAATCATACATGAATTATGTTACAATCCATTTTCAATCACATGTTTTTCTTCTTAATTTGTTCACATTTAACATGTGTTGTCTTTTGCCTCCCTGGTGCAGTATGGGAAAGTGCTCCAGTACAGTGACCCCTCTGTGATTTTCGTGTTTCTGCTGGTCTTCTGCCTGGCCACCATCACAGAGTGTTTCTTGATTAGCGTCTTCTTCTCCAAAGCGAATCTAGCTGCAGCGTGTGGAGGCCTCATATACTTCCTCCTTTATTTGCCTCACCTGCTCTGCCAAACCTGGCAAGATGTCATGAGCTTCCGCACCAAGATAGTTGCGGTAAGTTTATTTTTATTTTTAACTGCTGTGTACTGCCTGCATGAAATTATAAATTGTTTTATTGTCCGAGAAGCTTGTTGTCCTTTTACCATGGCAGCAAAACTGCGCTCTGGCCTTTAAAAGTTGTGAAAAGAACTTATAAACTCATTGCCGTGAATACAAAATGTAAGGCAGGAATAACTTTGCACCACTGCAAATCCTTTAAAACTAGTTTTCTTTCTCAGGTTTTTATAATGGTAAAAAAGCGCCTTTAAGTGGGTTGAAATACGCAAGCGGCACAGAGACATGTACCTTAAAGGACACCTAAGCAGCGAGGGGCTTTGGGGGTTTGTGGTCTCCTTTAAAGGATAAAGATAAATAGTGTAGCATTGCTCAACTCTCAGCACAGCCCTTCTATGTGACCTTTAGAGCGGTACTGCTATCATTTGTCCTCGAGCTGTCCTGTTCCTCCGACAAAGACGCACAAAATCTCCAATCTCTGTTGTTCGGTGTCCGACTGCAGCTTTCCCAGAATCCCAATCAGCTCATGTTTTCTTTTTTGTGAACAAAGACAAGACTGTATCAGGTCAGGTAAAGTCATCTGATCTCCAAAACAAAAGATAAGAAGTTAGGGTGCTGCGTCGCAAATTTATTATTAGAAAAGGCTATAGAGTTGCAGCAAAGTATTCGTCCTTCATTGGGCCAAGATCTATATTGTGGTCCTTTTCGGAACAGAATTTTTTTGTGAACTCTATAAAACAAATTTGATTACATTTTGAAACTTCTTTCCTTAGAAGTTACCTTCAATACTCTTAACCAAAAAGCTTTCTTCACTGCTTTTTCTATCAGCTTAAAATTTGTACCTTACTGTCTTCAAATGATTTGTGGTTTTAAGATGAAAGTGGACAGCAGAGTACACCTGAGTTTTATTTTGTGTTGATATAATCTCTTATGTAGTGGTTGCTTAGTTTCCCGTATGTACTGTTCCTTGCAGTTTTCGATCCCACAGTGAATTCAGTACACTTCATTACTCTGTTTTTGTGTTGGTGTCTTTGGTGTGGCTGCGATGGCTTTGCTTTACCAAGAATGTTCCATGTCTCATTAAACATGTCTAAATCTCCATGGAGACAAGCAGGCGACACCTCTACCTAAAGACCTATGGGGAGACATGACGTCTTACCATAAAAATGCAGATTTTTAACACATGTGCCTTTTTATTTTATTAGTGATAAACTGTAATTGAATATGTGAGCTGGTTGAGTTTAATGCCTTACTATGAGAAATTCTAGGCAAACTAATGAATGCTTCATGGTGACAAGGTAGTGTACCACCCACCGGAAAAATAGTCTTGTCATTAACACTCAAATCACCATCATATATTTGCAAACAACTTTATAACATCAAAAATAGAAATAAAAAAATCATGTAATATGGGGCCTTTGATAAACTCATCAGTCAACTAATACATTAATCGACTAAATGACTAAAGGTCTATAGATCAGCTCTCTCCCTCTCTCTCTGTATCTCTCTATGAGCATGTCTGACTGTCAAACTGCAGCATGTGTCATCTCACCGGCGCTTCATTTTACACCAGAAATCACACAATTCACAATTCGAACTAACTTACTTGGTCTCTTAGATCAGACACAAGAGCATTTAAAGCCAACACCTCAGTGCTGTCTGAGAGGATGCTGATGTAGACCTTTTTCACAATGGCTGGAAGTCCCTCCTGGTAAGGTTTGCAGAACTTCAAGTTAATGCTTTTCTGTGGCAAATTATCTGTGGAAATGTCCACCAGCTTCATAAATCTGCCTGCCCCATCACCAAATCTTTAACCAACAAGGTCAACAAAGGACACATTTTCTCCATTACGAATTTGTCCACAATTATCAAGGTAAGAAAGATGAAAGCTTAAAGACTAACAATGACTAGCATTAGCCAACTACTTCTGAGCAAAGCAGGGCATTGTGAAAATGGTCTATTGCACTGGTGTAAACAAGCGCACGTGAGTCAGATGATGTGACTCTGGGGGGTACATTCAGGTGCAGTACGGCCTCACAAACACACACAAACAAATTACTCCTCTGATAAATATAGATGCAACACCACATATTAGGACATTTATCTGTCTGTCAATTAGTTTAAATGGACGTAATATAGAGCGTTAGGCTTTATAACGAGGTATAACTTGCCCACATGGACTATCTGGTTATATCGGTTAGATTTAGGCTGACAGCCGATATGTCTTTGATATGAGTTTCTGGTTGCTGTATAAGAAAAGAGGTGAGGACCACATGTGCGTTTTCTGAAGATTTAATACAAACACATACAGAGCTCTGGCTCTACTGCCTACATGCAACTACAGAGAGATTGAGTTTCAGCAACAGACAGTTTTATATATAGTGTGGTGGACAACAGGCGTGAGGCTCATGTCATACAGAGTGATTAATACATGGTCTGGCAACAACTGTAGTCATAAAAATGTACTGTGACATCTTAACTTTAGCTACAACCAATGGTCTAACGTTCCTTTTTAGGAAATAACATACTTATTCTCATACTCTTTACATTAAGCTTGTTTGTCCTTCAACTAACATCAAAAACATGCCACCATTCTCCAAGTGCCCATAGCAGCCAATAATATCCACCAACCGATATATAGGCTGTGCCCTAATGTGCACAAATGGTGACAAAACAAAGTGTTTTGCCCAAGCACGCAACCGCAGTTATTGAACCACCAGCCTTTCTTTACTAACCCAGCTGCGGCCTTTCCATATTCGGCATGCTTTCTAATAATGCCCAGCTCTAGTGGCAGTAATATTTTGCCTTGACACCGCCAACTTTTTCAGAGCCGATTTTGCCTTTGAAAGTTCACTTAAAAATAAACCTCATTTTCTTCCCTGTGCAGGTTTAAAGCATTTTACATCTAAAGCAGGCCAAACCTTATTTAATCTTTGGTGCCACTGCTCGCTTCTCCCTTGGCACTTTAGGTTTTATTCCGGCGTTCCCCTTAGATGGATAGCCCTCCAGCCTTCTAATTAGCATGAGCAATGTTCTTGTGACCAAACCACTATCCTCTTCATCCCTCCTCTTTATCAGATGTGCTTGTGCAAAGATTTTTCTCTTTTTATTCTCTTCCTCCCAGCTAAGAGTCCAACTGCACTGTGCCCAGGCATACAAATTCTCCAGAAATCACCTTTTTTTAAATCTAGGCCTGTCACAGTAATTACTATATCGACTTATCCTTCAATATGTGACAGATTGTACAATTAAAGGCGATGTACATGGTTTCTTCTGTCTGAAAATGTAAAAAAAAACAACTAGTTCATTTTATAGCTTGCAGTGGTCCAAAAGTTATTCCTCACTTACCTTATACATTTAGAACATTGTAATTATTCATCAATGGGTTTATAAGCTTTTTTTCCCCACAACTCAGAGACCAGCATGAAGTTTTGTTGTGTAAAACCTAATATTTGGGAGTGAGTTTTGGGGAGCTCAGTGGTATTTTTCATTTGTACTGATGATATGATACGATTTCAGTTCTAGAGGGTTGAATAAATAACTTCTATGACTCATTATAGATACAAACTAACTACTAGTGTGCTTCATTCAGCTAATTATTTATTGCGGCGAGTGTTTTTATGAATAGAAATGCTCAAGCTTATTTTAAAGGGACAAAACCACCTCCATGTAATTGCATTGGCACATAGTCCGTATGAGTTTAATAACAATTTCTTAAAAGAGTTCAAAGTTATTGAACATTCCCCTGACATATACTTAATTTTATTTTCAGGCTCAATCAGTGTTTTCTGACTCATATCGGCCTAAACAAACCATGATAATAGACTAGTATGCTCCACTCATGTCAACTGAATTATGATTGAAGCTAAAAATCAAACTACTATATGTTTAATTCAATTTAATATAGAATTTACCATCTTAACATCTCCCTCATTGTATGAACAAGACAATACCGATTTCTACATTTCATTTCAATATAACCTAATTATTTATGAATGAGGAACTAGCAGTAGATTCACAATACATGATTTTTAGGACTAAAGCAGCAGTTTCGTTCTTCTTTTTTCTAAATCAGACGTGACAATTCTTGTGATTTCAAGAGCTGCATATACAATTTCTGTATCTGGGGCGAGACACATTTTTCTCAAATGTATCAGAAAAATATGAGTACAGCGTCTTTAATATTTGGGAGTTAGTTTTGGGGAACTGAGAGTTATTTTTCTTCTGTATTATGGTAAGATTTGAGCTCTAGAGGGTTAAATAAATAACATCTATGTCTGATTATAGATACAAACTAACTACTAGTTGTGTTTCAATCAGCTAGTTATTTATTGCAGCACCTGTTTTTATCAATATTTCACATTTATAGTTTGTTTAGTTTTAATATTATCGTCTAAATTTTCTTCAACAATGTATCACATTTCCAAATTAGTTTCCGTGACAGCCCTATTTTAATGAACATTTTCTGATTGTGACACACATTACATCAAACTGACAACTTCTTTTAGCTGAAGCAATATTAGGGCTATTTGTCATTGTGCAACTTTGAATTCAAACCGGAGACAGGTCCTTTACGTTCTGAAATTGATTTGATTAATTCATAAAAAAATGACCTTTCAATGAGTGAACTTTTCAAAGATTGCTTTAGCCAAATTAGTGACACGTGACCTACGGTTTACAGAGGAGTTTTGTCCATATCTTTTTTTAACGTTTGACATTTTCATATGAATGGAATAATAATTTCTTCAGAACTATGAAAGATGGCTTATTACACTTGAAATCACACTTTTAGTAAAACATCAAGGCCATGCTGTGATCACTGTTTTTAATAGCATCTTTTGTCCGCCCCCAGTCCAAATAGTCTTGGGCTTGTGATTGTGTGTTGTTGAGTTCAATAGCGGCTTGTTTTTGAGCACCTCCCAAACATCTTTTTTTTTTTTTCCCCCTCCCAATCCAAAGAAGCCTGTTGTGTTGTCAGTCTTTCATCCGGAGGTCAAGGATGGGTGCCCATTTTGTCCCATTCTGTCCCCAAAATATCTCTCCTCTCTGTTGATTGCTTGACATTAGTCGGGCAGCGCTATTTGAGAAAGGAATTTGTGGACTGGATCGGGCTCTTCTGTCACTGTCAGCAGTAGAAAGAGTACTGAAAATGTCTACTTAAGTAAATGTACAGTTACTAGGCTAAAATTGTACTCAGACACAAGTACTAGTACTGCTGCTAAATGCTTACTTACACGATGAGTTGAAGCAGGTTGCACCACTTTCAGAGCCAAATGCCAAAGCCTTCACTATAATGCTAACAACAACTAGCATGCTAACAGCGCACTTACTGATTCTTGGAGGATACACACTTTATGATTAGACAGCACACAGCAGTCTCATTTCTAACTTAAGAACTGCTTATATCTGTTCTGAGGTAAAAGAATAATCGAGTACAAGTACACAAGGAATATACTATCCATTTACTTCTTTTAAAAAAGACCTACTGTGCTCATGTCTGATATATAGTTATGATTTATGACACCTGTGCATTAATCGGAATATTCATCTAAATAAAATAAACAGGTCCACTGACTTGTGAGTTAGAAAACTGTGGTTTTGATGTAAGCAGTGATGTCTTGAATGCAGTATAAGGATTACTCAAACATGCACGAATCAGACTAAATACAACTCTGAGCGCATAAATGAGAAGGAGAAAGAACTATAACATAGTTAAAGGCTCAAAAAAGTCGATTTTGTATAATAGGTCTGCTTTAATGCAAATCCAGTAGCATTTTAGATCAGTGTTTTATGCAAAACTTGCTTAAGCTGTTTCAAACCACAATCCACTTATTCTCTGAGCTGAAGACCATGGTAATACAACTGGGGACAGGAAGAACTGTGACTCCTTTATTTAAAATATAACTAATTACAACTATTTACTCAATTTATACTCGATCACAAGTACAAAAGTATGTTAAAAAGCTACTCAAAAAGTACAATTACCTATAAAAATTTACTCAATTACAGTAACTTGAGTGATGGCAATTTATTACTTTCCACCCCTGGTCACTGTTGGAATACTTCTAGAAAGCATTATAATTTCTCTGTCAAGGTTCGTCAAATGACTGAGGTTGACTCAAAGCAGTGTTAGCCAATGAGGCGTGAGCAAACAGCTGGCAGCCAACATGGCGGCGGAGTGATCGTCAGTGGCAAACAGATAATTTCTAGTGTCATTTGTGATTTCATGTCGAATAAGCCTTTCAACAGGATCTGCATTGGCAGAGTACTATTATTCTTAATTACTTGACTTTATTATTGTTGTTGCAACAAATAATAGGCCAGCAAAGACATTGATTCATATTTGGTGTGTGAAAACAGTGGTTGGATGCTGAAATTGTTGCTTCTGTCAATCATTGAGAGACGGGCAAATATAGCAACTTCAGCCCTGAGAATTTGATGAAGGAACAAATGAATAAGTAAAACTTATGTACCTGATTTACTGTTTTAAAAATGTGAAAACCGCAGCTAGCTCATTTTAAACAACCTTCCAAATGTATTGCTCACTTTCCTAATGCATTCCGAGCATGCTAATTATTCACCATGATGAGTTTATGAATGCATTTCACAAATTTCAGAGGCTAGAGCAGAGTTCTCTTGTTATTGTAATGCTAACAACAACGACCATGCCAACAGTGCACTTTCATATTCTCAGATAATAATCCTTTTGACCCCAAGAGCTGCTTTTATATTACCGGAATATCTGCACTAGGACAAGACAAACTACGTGGAAAAAAATCAGGCAGAGTAATTTTCATCACAAACGTGTATTTATTCACAGAGTCTGTTGTCATGTGTGGCGTTCGGATACGGATGTGAGAACATCGCGAAATATGAAGAACAGGGGATCGGCATTCAATGGAAAAATATTGCCACCAGTTCAGAGGAGGGGGGGCGCTATAGCTTCCTTGTTTCTCTTATGATGATGCTGGTTGACTCACTGATACACTGGCTGCTCACCTGGTACATCGAGAACGTATTTCCAGGTTTGGACCTTTTACTCGATAAAAATGTTTATGTATAGTATAACTAGAGAGAGATAGAGAATTCAAATAAAAGTGAAAATAGTGAATAAATTATAATAAGAAAATATCTTAATATGTCTCTTTCATTTACATTTTAGTAACAGGTTTGAGTTTTCTTGTAGATTACAAAAATAAAATTGTGATTATAACAACAATACATAATAAATTCCGAACGCATCATGATTTTGGCTTCATGAAGTTTGTTTTTTCAGTAGCACCTTTATTCTCAGATTATTCAGGCTGGTTTAAAATATTAACATTATTTTGTGCGTTGCTTTCAGGACAATATGGCATTCCAAAGCCGTGGTACTTCCCGTTCACCTCTTCTTACTGGTGTGGGGGGAGCACTTTGATTGACCTCAGTGTATTCGACAACTCCATTGAACAAAATGGTAAAGAGGGCTGTTATTTCAATTCTCACCTTCTTGTATTTGTTAGTTTCTTGTTACAGACTAAAGGGAGTTTGTGGTTCAAAAAAAAAAAAAACATCTGCGACCTAATTGGGATGGGTCACAAGTGAACATTAGCGCCTGCTTTTTCACATCGGGTGATAATAGAGCTGGAGCCATTAGAGGAAAACTATTTACAATTCATTTTCAAGGGAGATGCTCAAGCTTATTTTAAAGAGACAAAGCCACCTGCATGTAATTGCATTGGCACATAGTCTTTATGAGTTTAATAACACAAGTTCTTTAAAGAAAGTTATTGAAGATGTTTTAAAAGTTGGAAATTCCACTGACATATACTTAATTTTTAGGTTCAGTCAATGTTTTCTGCCTCATACACAAACCTTTATAATATATGCTCCATTAATGGTAATTGAATTAGGCTCATGGTTGAACCTAAAAATCAAACTATGTTACTGGCCAAATGTGGAAAACTGTCATTGATTTAACAAGACAATACTGATCTCTACATTTTATTTTAATATAATGCCATTATTTATGAATGAGGAACTAGCAGTTGATTCACCATACACATTTTTTAGGACTATAGAAACAGTTTGGTTCTTCTTTTTTGTAAATCAGATGTGAAAACTTACGACTATTACAGTGAAATTTTGTACACAGTAATTACCGTATTTTCCGGGCTATTAGACGCGCTCTTAAGACTCTAACCCCATCAAAAAACGACCACGCGCCCCACAATCCAGAGCGCCTCATACGCAAATCCACTCGGGTGTCCCAGCACGACTTCAGTAAACTACAAAGCCGCACCACGCAAACACACACGGAGCAGACAGCGACTGCACAGCGAAACACACCCGCAGCCACACTCATCACTCCACACGGACGAGGAACGGAACCGAGGAACGAACTGAAAAATCGAGTCCAATGTGCCACTCTGAGCCACAACTGAACAACTGAGTCACTGCAAACACGCCAACAATCCAGCGGCCCCAGACAGCACCCTCCCTACACGCCACAACTGAACAAAGCCCAGAGTCACCGTGAACACGCCAAACAAAGTCCAACTGACCCATCGAACTGTTGTGTTTCGTTTAAAGTCCAGTGCGGTTTATTTGTGAAAAAAGTTCGAAAATAGGCCATTTACTGACAGTGTGTTTTATAATCCAGAGCACCTAATAGCCCGTAAAATACGATATCTCATTTCATAAAAGGAAATACGCAACATTCACACGTACAAGCACTGCGTCCATTCCATACTAGGGTTGTAAATCTCAAAAATCTGATATTAATTGATACTAAAACTAACTATTGAAACTTGATACTCATTTGAACAAGAATCAATACAAAAAAGTAACATCAACAGGACCGAAATGAACCTTTCCTGCATAGATTTAGAATGATCTTGAGCTGTATCAGAACAAGTATGAGACCACATAGACTAGTATACACCTTTGTAAAAGAAAGTACCATTATTTACTGTTGAAAAGTTTTTACAATCATTGTGGTATTGGAATTGGCATTGAGTAGAGTGGTGTCAGAGTGGCTGAAACGAGTTGTTCAAGGGCACAGCAACAATATGCTCCGATTATTACTTTGCCTCACCCCAATGCCACCTTTTGCTGTCAGTGTTGTCCTTAAGTATGCCCTACATGTAAACATACTCAATCTTATCTTTCCCCAGAGTACCTCGAGAAACCGCCTCCCAATGTGGAAGCCGGTGTAGCCATCCGGAATCTGGTCAAAATCTACAAGACTGGAAAAAAAGTAGCTGTGGATGGTCTGAGCGTGGACTTCTACGAAAATCAGATCACGTCTTTTCTAGGCCACAATGGAGCAGGCAAAACCACCACCATGTATGTAGCCCTATCTACCTTCTGGTCTAGTCTTGGTCTAGTTTTTTTGGTTTAGTCCCGGATTTGTCCTGGTTTAGTCCTGATGGTTTCGGTTTAGTCATGGTTTCATTCTCGTCTAGTAAAAGTGAAAAAATGCATAGCACATTCAGATGGCTGAAGTCCAAAAGCTTTTTTTTTTTTTTTTTAAATAATGGTTCAACAAAAAACCCTTCATCAGATTATTTTTCTTGCTTTGGACCACAGTATAGTATATTAGTTCTCATCTAGACCTGGTTTAGTCCTGGTTTAGGCCTGCAGTCTCGGTCTAGTTCTGGTTTAAATCTGGTATAATTCTGCTTAATCCTGCTTTAATCCTGCTTTAGTCATGGTTTAGTCGTCTTCTTCATCTAGTTTTGTGCTGGTCTAATCCTGGTTTAGTTCTGGTTTAGTCCTGCAGTCTCAGTCTATTCCGGGTCTAGTCCTGGTCTAGTCCGGGTCTAGTCCTGGTCCAATACTGGTCCAATACTGGTCCAGTACTGGTCCAGTACTGGTCCAATACTGGGCCAAACCTGATTTAGTCCTGGTTTAACCCCAGTCTAGCCCTGGTTCAGTCCTAATCCAATCCTGGTGTAATCCTAATTTAGTCCTGATTTAACCCCAGTCTAGTCCTGGTTCAGTCCTGGTCCAATTCTAATTTAGTCCTGGTTTAACCCCAGTCTAGTCCTGGTCCAATCCTGGTCCAGTCCTGATTTAGTCCTAGTTTAACCCCAGTCTAGTCCTGGTTCAGTCCTGATGGCTAAGGAATACAATTTAGGTCTACTGTGTAATTTCACACGTACAAACTAATCTAAAGCGTACACAATACCAACTGCATGGAGGCCATATTAATTCAGAGGTCATTGCTTCCAAAGACTGACTTCTTAAAAAGGACATTTATCACATAGAGTCAGCTGGTGGGGCTATACGGGAGTTATCTAATTGCTGTTTAAAAAAGGGGGAAGTTGGTAGAAAGGTTTTAAGGTTCAGGGGATGACAAGAAATAAATGAAAACCACTGGCCTGGATAGAACGAGCAGGGGAGAGCTACTGGTGCGAGACTAAGGGCCCAAGGGGAGCTCAGACTAACTGTAACAAAACATAACGGAGCACAACAAACGGGGAGGGCAGAGATAGGAGTCCATGCTGCTTATGCAAAGTGTAGCTATATACTTTTACATTTGAACTGGATATACAGTAAATTAGATCTTAATTGGTGGGACTTCAAATTAATAAGGAAGCAAGTTATTTTTGTTTATTTATTCTAGCTCAGAAAATCAGCCTTTACGCCATGCAACATAACATAAAAGCAGAAAATCGAGAGGCCTTTTATATGTTTTAAAAGGCATTTGTTGGATGGTGTATACAGTAGGATTATCAAAAGTGTAGAAAATCGCATACTAATTGATATTAACGCTCATATTGAAACTAAATACTCATTTGAGCAGGCAACAATAGTAAAGTCATATTCACAGGGCAGAAATGAACCTTTCCAAAAAAGCTTTAGAATGATCTTGAGCTGAATCAGAACAAGTAAGACTAGTATACACCCGTGGACCGCGAGGGAACCTGCCTGGTCGACTGAGGGATTACTCAGATACAAGACTACATGGTGGAAGAAAGCACTAAGAATTCATGTTGAAAACTTTTGTCTAGAGTGTTTTTTTTTTGTTTTTGTTTTTTTCATCGTGGTATCTGAATCAGGATTGAGTCTATGCCTTATATATCCTCTTGGGACCCAAAGAAAAAAAGTGTATTGCAATATATACTTTTTTGTGATTTTCTATTTATTTGAAGGTAAATGAACACCTTTGCATTTCGATTTTATTGACTTTATTTTTATTTATAACTTTATAACATGTCCTCTGTAATGGACGCCGGGGACATTTTGGTGTTAAATCCATGTGAAGTAACAAAAACTACTTTTTTGGTGACCAACATCTCTGATAGGCTTCTACAGTTCCCCTAAAAGGTTTTCAGACTCCCTTTTAATTTCTCCTTCTTCTTTTCATTATTATTATTATTTTTTTTTTTTATCATAGTTCAGCCACAAACTAACTCCTATTGAATTCATTTTGTATCCTGGACATGATAGTACACTATAATCTTTCAGCCCCTTACTTAGGCAAAGGAACCTAGTCCCCCCCATTAAGAGTCTATCTCAAAACACTTAAAAGATAGATTAAGTCCACTATAAATGACACAAATGAATGGGCTGGGTCTCAGGAGGATATTGAAATCTAGTATGTATCTACTATTGTGACAACGCTATATAGAAAAGAACTGCCAGGGTGCATCTTTTTATCCAGTCCACTTCGGTGAATGAGAAGCATGTGGAAACAACTTTCACTTAATTCACTCCACATAATGTCAGAATGGACTAGTCAGTTCAAATTAAAAAAATTTCCACTTATTATGGTGAAATAGTATGTAGAATGGAACAAAAAGCTGCACAGAATAAAAGGATCTTAAAATAAAAAAAAATACAATTTTACATGAAATAAAATAATTTGAAGGTGAAGTTTGGAGAAGAAGTAATATTTGTAAGCCCTTGTGTTAATAAAAACAGGAACACATTCATCACATTCTGGCAAACATAATTAGAGTTGATATTGTGTTGAAAGCAATTTCGAATTCAACATTAAGATTATTTCAATACTTCAAACTGAGTAAACAAGTTTGAAATGTTAAATTTGACAGCTGTGATCATATTTTATTGTTAGTAAACCAAACTGATATTCTTTTTTGGAGTTTTTGATTTGCTCACAATCTAAGTTCAGAGAGAAAAATGTACCCGCTTTAGTAAAAAAAATAAAATAAAATTCAACAACTTTTCATAACTTTCTAATGTATATATATATATATATTTTTTTTTTTGAAGGTCCATTTTGACAGGACTGTTCCCTCCGACTTCTGGCACTGCGCTCATCAATGGCTATGACATCCTCTCCGACATGGACGCTATCCGGAAATTTTTAGGAATGTGCCCCCAACACAATGTCCTCTTCAACGAGTGAGTCTCTTTGTCTAGTCCTGTCTTAAAGCTACACTGTTTAATTTTTCTTCATGCATTCACTTCATGGAGATATTATTGCTTGGAATAGAGTTTAATATTCAACAGCATGCATGTTTTTAAATGTGTTTTGAGCTCAGTGTATGCCAGGCAAATAATTAATATCTCCATGGAGACCAGAAATACCACCAAAAAAAGTGCATAGTGCATACATACTATATAGATACATATAATGCTGGAACATTCAAATTTACACAATAACATCTCCATGAAAATGAAAACAAAAGAAAAATCACTTTTGAGTTTATTAAGATCCATAATAAGACTTGGGAGTTGTCTTTTATTCTCCATCAACACATCATTATCTTCTCCTTGTTTAAAAATTACTCACACACTCCAGTGTAAAATGTAAAAATAAATAACTCAATTTGCAACTGTTTCATTTCACTTCTACGTCCCTTTATTTCTCTGCTTTCCCAAACCGATTACCTGCAGCTCGACACTAGTCCTACATCATAATTATATACAAGCGCCTGCAGATTACTTCCATTAATTTTAATTCCCTGACAGTGAAGGCATCTGAATTAGGAAGGGTTAAATACAGTGTCCTCTGCTAATATTGGTAAAGGATAAATATGTGAAAAAACAAAACAAAAAAGGCTGTATTGTATTTATCGATTTATCTTTTCCTCACATGATGAATTTGAAAAAAAAAGTTGTGTGTCTGGTTCGAAGTGGGTGCATAGATGGTTTTCAGAAACAAATGTTTCTGGCAGGTATCCCCATCCAAATACACAGAGAGCATGAATCTTTGGTTGTATTTGTGCTTTTACCATCAGCACAACGTGCTCCTGGGGCAGTTCTGTGTTGAGTGAAAGAGCCCAGGTCCAGAAAGACTGTTAATAAGTGCTTGAAAATTAACTTTTGAAATTGCTGTGGTGAGTCTGTACAGAAGGTAAATACAAGTCTGTTCAGCTGTTAGTTTCACTGTGGATCCGATACAAGTGGCTAAACGCACCCAGTCAAGTTTGATCGTCTTTCCCATTGACAAACACAGAGCCAGTGCTGCGCGTGTACATCCTGCTGCAGTGAGGTTACGTGTGTAAACACTGATGCGTGCAGTGGAGCCAGGCCCTAATCTTGCAGCCAAGAGCGCAATCTCACTAAACCAAGTATCCCGACTCCTGAGGAGGGTTAGGAAGGTGGTAACATTTTTTCACTGAAGCACAACAGCTGCCTATGTCCAATAATGATGAGCTTAAAGTCAATTCAAATTCAGTTTGTGCATGGTTACATTACTAACCATAATTTTATAACTTTTTAATGCTGTATCCTAAATTGTGGATAATTAAGCTAACATAGCATATGATGAATTATATTTCTTGTATGATATAAGATGTAACAATAACCGAACTATTGTGATATTGTATCGTCAGAAGTCTCTCAGTAATATCATGAGCCACCATAATATAGTATATCAAATCACAGGTATCTTTGCTTAAATTCATTGTTTTGGTGCAGCAATAACTAAAAGAAACAGAGGGAACTACATAGACCATGATCCTTTGCTCTGTTTCAGTCCAATGAAATTACTTATTAAACACTTTTAGATCTTAACTCTTTGGTTTATGGCAGAACCAAAGGCTTGTCAAGACGTTTTTAAAGGAAAAAGTCGTATATTCACAATTCTGTTAGCGTCTACAAAATATTACAATAAATATCGTACTGTGACATGCATATCGCGAAAATATCATACCGAGGAATTTGGTTATCGTTACATCCTTAGTTTTGTTTCATTAACACTTTTGAGTAATCCTCTGTCTATGTCTCCAAAGCTCAAAATAACGTGTTCCAACCTGTGATATCACGAAGCAGTAGTTTTCAAGTTAACACCTACTTTTTTGTTTATGTTCAGTAAAAATTCCACGGCTAAAATTATCCATATGATTCTAATGAAGGTGTATAGTATAGTGTGAAAACCCAGTGCCCTTTATGGCCTGAACTAAATCAATTGAAAACATTTTACTTTGGTCAGTATTGGTCAGTCAAGCCTTCCTAATTGTCTCTATAATATAATATTCCCATTCCAGGCTAACAGTGGAGGAGCATATTTACTTTTACGCACGGCTGAAGGGATGGAGCAAAGACGAGGTGAAGGTGGAGATGGAGCAGATGATCAATGATGTCGGGTTACCGCACAAGAGGAAGGAGCTGGCCAAGAACCTGTCTGGTATGTTTTGGTACTGCTGAAATAATGAAGGGCTAAAAGGAGAAATGTTTGTGCTAAGTAAAAGAAAATGGAAAAAGGTAAACTGTAAGCTGCAATTTTATTCAAGTATTGTAAATTTCAAGTTATAAAGACAATTTTGTATTTGCATTTTAAAGACTCTTCTGTACCTGATTTTCAGTGTCTTAAAAATGTGAAAAACAGAACTAGTTCATTTTGCAGTGATCAAACATTAATCTTCACTTACCTTATGCATTCTGAGCATCCTAATTATTCACCACAATGAGTTTATAAGCGCCTTTCACAACTTTCAAAAGCCAGAGCTGAGTTTTGCCGCCAATGTGACACACTTGACAATTGCATGCAGACAGTTCACAGGACTTATTCTGATTTAAAGCACTGCAACATACTTGTACTGGTGTATTCTGCTCAAATGCATGGAAGATTTTGAGGACAGGCACTTTTATTTATTCATAATCCGCTTTTTAATGTCTTTTTTTTAAAGTCAGTTCCCTTTCATCAGCTACTATTGTGTTGTCAACGCCCAGACAAACTCATTCATTCTTGTTTACATTTCACAGCGCTTTTACACAGACAATTGCCTCCTTAGCCTTAAAGAGCAGAATTCACTCAGTGTCTGGGCACAGAAACATGCCCTGTACCTGCGCCGAAGCTTGTAAGTCATTGTCTGCGGGCTGTGAGCGAGTCCTGCTTGATAAATTGTCCTCGGTCATTGGCTGCTTGTGAGCAAAATCACTGAAATATGACTTTCAAGGTTGATCTATGCTGACATTTCCACTACATTAGCACTACATCGGATGCATTCTGAAGAGCCTCATATCACCCCAGTAATCCATCCATCCATCGTGTGCTATCAATCATTTAAGATCACTGACTGTAAGAAACATGGCCGAACATTTTAGCACTGTTAAAGTAGAAGCGTCTTAAAATCTCTTCACTGTATTAAAAATGCACCTTGGAACTTTTCTGGTAGGGGTTTGTCACCTGCTTGTTTTTGTGGAATTGATTGGAATGTTCCACACTATGGCATTACACACATATATTTTCTTGCTTAAAAACAAATACATTACAAAAAATGAGTTCATACTGTTAGCTGAGTTACGTCTCCACATATCTAAATTGTAGCTTGGCCTGCTTGTCTCTGTAGAGAGAAGTTACATATTACAAAGATACAACTTTTCAGGTAGTGGGTATATGTTTGCTGGTTCTTCCTTTATCGTGGGGGTTACGTTCTAAAAATAAACCACAATAGGTGAAATCTGTGAAGTAGTCAGCTTAATTGTTATAAATAAATATAGTTATATCTGTTTTAAAGCTGTAAAACCCCTCACCACATACTTTATACACTTTTCTCAAACAGGACGGTTACAACCCTTTTTGCATCCTTCCTAAAACTTATTGCTACTGTCGTCCTTATGTTATTTTACTCCTTTTTTATGTAGTGAACCGAAAATTACTTTATTCCGTAATGGTGCCCTATAGCCGCGTAATATCTACCTTCCTTCAGCGTGTCCAGAAGTCCAACTTTTTGTGCGATGATTAGCATTTTCCTCTGCCTTTTGGGTGTGACCGCAGGAGCCTTTGTGGGTGCACAATGTTTTGTTGACATTGTGGGTTTTGTCAAGGAAAGAACATGCAGCACTTCAGAATTACACTGTTAGAGATCAAACATTTATGTAAATTTGGCAAGATGAACACATTTTGTACTATACAGGAGACATGACATGGACAAGATTGATTGACAATGGTCTACAGTCCCTTAGCCAATCATGACGCAGGGGGAGGAACACAATGCACATTAAAAAAAAAGCAAGCAAAAGTGCAATAAAAAAAATAAAAAATCCACGAAACAGCAAGGCCACGAAAGATGAACTGCATTATAGTGAGGGATGACTGTATGGTAATAACTGTATCTATACGGAGACTGGCAGGCGATATCAGCAGTCCAAGTTATAGGCCGGATCTGTAATTTCACAGATCACAGTAATTTAATGCCATACTATGGAACATTCCAGGCAAAGCTTTGGAGAAATGTATACAGTAGCAGATGACTCTATCAGAAAAGTTACATAGTGCACCTTTAAGTAAATATGGACAGACTGTCTGGTGGAATTTTAACAAAAGACAAGCATCTTCTTCTTTCAGCAGCTCTACTTTGGAGATGTTTTTGTCCCAATAGCACTGACACTCAGATGGTGTTTTCCAGGTGGCATGCAGAGGAAGCTGTCCGTTGCCATAGCGTTTGTTGGCGGCTCCAAAATAGTCATCCTGGACGAGCCGACAGCTGGAGTGGACCCGTATGCCAGAAGAGGAATTTGGGAACTACTCCTAAAGTATAAAAAAGGTATGAAATTCTGTTGAAATAGCTACGGCATACACTACATAGATTTTTACAATTCTAATGAATATGCCCATGACATAATATTTGCTGGCAGTGTAATCAGGACAGCTGTTTCCTTGTGGGTGTTTTAAAAATGAGTTCACTGTTTTTAATGCGATATATTATCCACTATTGAGCTTGTTAGTTAGGCATTGTTGATGCAAAGTTGCCATTATCGCTATGGGTAAAATTTCCAGTAATATCAGGATTGTTTTATTAATACAGAAGCTCAAGTGGTGATGGCATTGTTTACTCACTCTAAAATGTATTAATGTATTTTGTTTTAATGGAGTTATTTTTACTCTAGAACTTTCCATTAGTTTGTTGGCCGATCTAATATTACAAACCACACTTTTCCACCTTCAAGGCACTTAAAGCACTTTACGTAGGCTCTCAAAGCACACTGACTACAAGATTCGTAAATAAATTTGCCCTAGATTATTGTTTCCCAAAGACTGGAACACTCAGGTGGGTCACAAGAGATTGTTTGTGGGTCGCCTTGTCACGATTTGCATGTAGGTCTGCAATATACATTTTTAAAATTATTATTATTATTATTTTTTATTTTTATTTTTTATTTTTTTTATTCAATATTTTGCCAGGTAAGTCAGTTGAGAACACCTTTTCATTTACAATGACGACTTGGCCAAGAGGTGGGATAAAAAAAAATTTAAAAAAAGAACAAACAGAAAACATACATCAACTATAACATGAAACAGTGAATAGAGAAATAAGACAGTGAAGCAACTGTAGATTAAAGGTAAAAGTGTGCAATTTTCCTGCTGTAAAATACTCTGGATGGAGTTTTTAAAAGTTGACAGAGGTAAAACGAAGTAAGTTTTAAAGTCTGTTGAAGGTGGTTCCAGTCACTTGCTGCAGAAAACTGAAATGAGGAACGGCCCAAAGCTGTGTGGGCTTTAGAAATGACCAGGGTTATGTATCTGTTGGAGCGCAGTGTGCGTCTGGAGCTGTGGATGTGCAGGAGTGAGCTGAGGTAGGACGGACTTTTACCAATTAAACATTTATAAATGAACAGTGACCTGTGGGTTTGTCTGCGGGTGTGAAGAGAGAGCCACTTCACCAGAGAGTAAATTGTCCAATAAATATACATCTCTGTGCACCCCCCTGCTCCTCATTTTTTTTGTCAGCACGGCTTTACCTAACCAATTTTCTGTGGGAAACACTGATCACTGTTTTTCATTGTTTAAAACATGAGTAATACTAATTGTTCAGAGGGATATGATCACTCCGTCAACAATAAAATATCCTCATTAATGTTCAATAATAGTCACAGATTTATTTTGTGATTTACGAATAATGTTTATTCACTTGAGTCGTGAAGATTTGTGACTTTTAAAATATGGGTCCCCAGAAAATAAGTTTGGGAAACACTGCCCTAGATGAAGCTAAAGAATCTCGCATTACAGTGTTGGATTTTTAACAATCATATCAGACTGTCGCAGTAGATCTATTGACATTAGATCTTGCAATTTGGCATTAAGCTGCACTGACATGTCTCTGCTTTCGACATGTGTATTGGAAGTCTATCTCCCACCCTTGAACAGAATAGCTGAGACAACTCCAGTCTTTTAATTGTCTCACCTTCCCTGTCACTTCACGGCCCTATAGGCTTCCATGGTGACTGCTAGTTTTAAGCAGGCCTTGCACATGGTAGGAACCCATTCTCTCAGTCTAAATCTTTAATGTGCATTGAGTGACACCTCGCCCTGGCTGTGTCATTAGCTTCTCGCCGTCTAATCAAGTCCTTTCACTGCGACTGGGAGCTGCAGATAACTTGCTTATAATGAGAACACCCACATTGTGCTGCTTGAATGACTAGTGTTTTGTGCCTCTCCGCGTGTATTTGTACCACAGTGTTAGCGAGGTTTGTCATTAAGCGAGAGAGAAGAAAAGCCAGCGGATTTATACAAAGGGCTAGGCTTCTTGTGGTTAGTCAGAAGCAATTAAATAAGTAGGATTCACAGGCAGTCGGGGCGGCAAGACGGGCATAAGTGGGTGTTGTTTTGATTCACTTATGTATTTGGCTGCTGTTCAGTTGTACTCAAGGTAACATGAACAGAATGTGCACTGATCACGATGATGAAAGTTGATGTGAACATATTGGATGAATGATTGTAAGTACGGTGTCCCGCTCATTGTACTAAAGGTGCCTTTTTAGATCGCATGTGTAACTTTTCTGGTAGAGTATAGCAACAAATATATCATGTTTTTTTTAATGTAGCTTATCCTTTATTTAGCCAGAAAGGTCCCATTGAGTTACAGTATTGTTCTTTCTGGGAGTCCTGGTCAAAATACAACGTGGAGCTTCCCAAAATCGTGGAAACTTGCTACACATTATGCAAAACTGACTCTTGTGAGCTTTAAACTGTGTTAAAATATTATTACCTCCTGAAAACATACCTGGAGTTGTGTTTTGTTTCATTCACATGTTTGGGTCATGTTTTATTATCTTTAATTATTACACTATCTACATCTCCAGAGCTCAAAATACTTGTTCAGTATTCAAAAACTGTTTTTTTGTTTTGTTTTTTTTGTTATAAATTGCTCCGGAGTATAAGTCGCACCGGAGTATAAGTCGCACCAGCTAAAAATTCGTAATGAAGAAGAAAAAACATATATAAGTTGCACTTTTTGGGGGAAATGTATTTCATAAAATCAGAGACCAGGAACCGAAATTTCATCTTGAAACACAAATATATATATTATAGTAATGACAATAGAAAAGAGAACAGAATAGAATAGGCGTCTAGTATGTTAATGTAGCTTATTAACAGTTATTCAGATAACTATAGCATAAACAACATAACATAAGTTTACTCTCAAGCTCTCAATCTCACTCCAAATCACTAAATACTTTCTTCATCCTCTGTGTCACTTCTGAGCTACTCCATGATCTCCAGAGATAAACACAGCGCCGCTTTAAAAAAAAAAAAAAAGAAGTTCAGTAGAGATTAGCAATTCCAGGGCTGAAATCACCCAAATGATTGTACTGAAGGTGTTTTGAGCTCAAAAATGCAGTGGATCATTTCCTCTGTTGACATCACAATGAGGAACAGAATAACAAATATGCAGAATTTGTGTGGTGTGTGAATGAAACAAAACACAACTCCAGGTTTGTTTTTGATGAGGAAACAACATTATAACAGATCAGAAAACAGCAAATATAGACCCTTTAAGTTACTAGTGCTAAACCATGAAAACTTCCAATGTTAGAAGCAGTTAGAAATTATCGACCATGGTGTATTTTATTAGAGGTAACGAGCATTAATAAACCGTATTTCCATTTTATCACACATTAGTCATACATAAAACTATTTTTTACCATGCGTGGTCTCAGCTCATGTCTGGGTTATTTCTGTCTAGCATCTGGTTCCAATAGTACGATAATTCTGGGAAGTAAAAACATTAATATCCCCCAAGTTAGCAATCAGGATTTAATTAGCAGTTAAGAGTCTGAATACTATAAACCTGCTACTTCAAATGGCTGTAAACTGCACATCACGGCAGATCCTCTGAGTTTCTGTATACAGCAAAGTATACCCAATGCTGCTGATTCAGTCTATTACTGACAAAGGAGTGTATTTTAACTCCATAGAAACTGTCCTGAATTTTTTTTTTTCTTTAAATTGTGAAAAATGGAAGGTATCATATATAATTCATTGTTTAAGATATCACAAATTAATGATGTTACTTGAAGCCACTCTTGCTTCAAATGGCATAAAACATATTGACATCTGTTTGAAGTGTTAGTATTTAAATCTTTGAAATCCTAAACCTTTGTACTTTGAAAACCTTGAAAAATAATGTTGATTATTAGTTGTGAAGAATATTCCACAATGTCTTTGACGAAACATATTTTTCATTCTGGGTTATTTCTGCTTTTCATTATAAAATCTCATTTGTTTTGTTTTCTTGTTTTGACGCTTTCCAAATCCTTCTTTCAAGTTTATGTCACTGCAAACTATTATCATTTTCATCTGTTCAAAGCAATGAGTCTTTTGTTCTAAAACATAATTTCAGAATTATTGATCTAATGCGACTTAAGCTATTTAAGCAGCAGTTAACACAATTTCTTCAAAGCAAATTTTTAACTCTATAAATCTACAGTCTCTTCTGACTTAATCAACCACTGTGAAATCCATTTCTTTCAGGTAGATTTACAAGGGAGGAAGCTGAATAACAGAAAGCAGATTTTCCAGGCCTCAAAGTGCGACCAATTTAGCCCAACGCAGCGCACTTATTTGATATATCACTTAGAGCTGTAATGCACTGCAACTCGCTATAAATCAGAATACCTTTGTGGGCCATCTGCGGTCCAAATAAATGTATTCTACCCCCGACACAGCCATGATTCACTGTGTTTTGATTAGAATTTCTCCCCCTTGTAAACCACAACAAGTCTCTAGGAAAATCATGAGCTTATTTTTGCTCTTTGGTAGCACCAACAAAAATTGAACCTTCTCCATGACAGGAACAGTAGACAGCGCTATTAAAGGCACTGTCTTACTCCCTTTAAAACAGAACGAGTTTGTAGTGGTACAAACGTATTTCTCATTTTCTTAATGCATTTCTAGCTCCCATTCTCTTGTCTGACCAGCCAGTCTTTTCTGCATTCTGGGGGTCTAGAATTGGACCATAGAGCGTGAAAATCCTCCATCGTAATGTGGGACGATCCAACCAAAACTAATTTGTAGCATGTCTCTCAAATGCGGAAGACATCTCCTCATGTCATTCAGAACAAAATATGTAACTTCTCTCACAGAGATAAATAATAGTTTGTTGCTTTGCTTGTTGATTCTGCAGAAATCCAAGCTGTCCCCAGTTCTCTATGTTCCCTAAACAGTAATGTTTTATGTTTACCTGAACGGAAAATGCTTCTCTCTGACTGGTCTCTCCACCCGTCAATTACTCCCTCTGGAATTGTTGAGACAGGATATGGTTCCATACTCACTTGTCTTTGTAAAATCTTGTCAAAACGTGCTTCATAACTTTCAGAGGTAATGCGGTAAAATAACAGCTAGCATGTTAACAGAGCACCACTCTTACGTTCTCATTCACAGGCTATAAAAAATGCTTCATGACAGCACGCAGTGGAGTTTTACCCATATGAGTAGCTTTTAAAATATGTCTTTATTTTTTTTTTACTTTATTACATGAAAAAAATAGGTACAGCTCGTTTAAAACACCACACACGCGTAAGTTGCAAAACACAGGATAAGCATTTAGTTCCACTTCAGCTTGTCTTTGCTGGTCTGGTGATTGCTTGCAAGTTGAATGCAGCAGTCCTCACCTGCAAAGATTTAGCAGAAATTGTGAGCAGAGCAAAATGGGCTGAGTCGGACTGTGGTTTAATGACCTCCGAGCTCGTCCTTACCTGTTCTAATGTGACCGGTGAGGATACCACATTTAACTACCTCTGTGCGGAAAAGCCAGTACCAGCAGTAACCTTTTTGCTGCTAACACTAGACAATGGAAGAGCAGAAATGAGTAAAACTACCATTCAATGCCAACTTTAAAAGATTTATCAGTGTCATCTTCTTTTAGGCTTTTTCCTTACACTAATCGTTCCAATTTGGTCATGTTATTGCCAAAATTGTAAGTAGGTTTGTTTCGGGTGAAGAAATGATATTATTAAAGCGTAGTAGACTACCTTCATTTAATTTTTAAGGTATTATCAAAGTATCTAAGTAATATCTATTGTCAATGATTGATGACCACCACGCTCACATCTCTAATCTCTATACGACATCTCTATCTAATATCCGACCGCAGAAATGTCAAGTCCAACCACAATGGGTCAGAAGAGGTGGAATTTATTTGTTTTAGTTGAGATTTGTGGCTGATTACTACAAGAATTACCACAAGAAGGAATAATTAGCTTGAAACCAATGAATAGAACTGATGGAACACTAAAAAGTTTATGAGAATGCACTTTAAATTTATAGACTAGGGATGTAACAGTACCCGAAATATTGTGATATTGTATTGTCAAAGTTCTCACAATAATATCGTGGACCATCACAATATATCAAATTACAAGTCTCTTTGCTTAAATTGAGAGTTATGGTGCAGCAATAGCTTAAAAGTCCTTGTTCTTTGGACTAAGTCTTGTCAAGGCATTTTAAGAGGAAAAAGTAGCATGTTCACAGTTTTCCACAAAATATCGCAATAAATATGGTATTGTGAGATGTATATCGTGAAAATATCGTACTGAGAGATTTGAATATTGTTACATCCTTAATCGTGAGCTTCCACACCATTTCGTGAGCTTTTCCACGATAATAAATAAATATCGTACCGTGAGGTTCATACCGTGGTGATATCGTATCGTGAGACTTGGATATCGTTACACCCTTTTATGGACTGCAATTTTTGTGCTCATGTTTATGTTTTCAGACAAATGTTGGCATTCTAAGCCCTGCTCGGACCTGTGCATGCTGTTGTTGTGTCCTTTGGCAAGACACTCCACTAGGGCTGGGTGTCATTAAGAAGTTGTCAATACGATACATACCTCGATACATAGGCCATGATATGATACATATGTCAATACAGTACACTTTCGATTCGATACGACTCAACACGATATATTTCAAATCGATTTGATATGGAAAAAGAAAAAAATAATGTCTTAATCATACTAAAATACTAAAAGTCTTTGTTAAACCACTTCTTGTGTAAAGTTAATATGAAACACACCCATTTAAATCATCAAAACAGTGAAAATGTCACGTGTTGCATAAATGAGTTTCGTTCTACCAAAAAAGTAACAAAACTGTAGCTGTAACAAATAATTTAGTAAAATATACCAAAAAATACCCTTGGCGATATATCGATACAGCAGCCCACGACATTGATTCTGTATCATCACATTAAATGATACGATATCGATATTTCAATATTTTTGCACACCCCTACAGTGAAGTGTGAGACTGATTGGCAGTGGCTTTGTAGTATGGATTCAGTGGATAATACATTGTAAACCTGAGAATCTTCAATGGTGCTATCCAAGGTGTTGCCATTTTTACTGTTATTAAACACTGCTTTTGTCCTTTTAATTATCACTGTTATAGTTGTAAGCTGCCACTATTTTTCAGACGTGTAAGTAGGTCTCTCAGTTTGCTCCCCAGATTTCAAAAGCGCCAAATCATAACTCCGTCGGTATTTGTGTCGCTGTAAAATCCCACCTTCATTTTCCGACGCCTTTTTCGCGCAGCCCCCGGGGACTTGACCGCGCTACGACTTCACCACACATCTCATTTCTATTTTATTCTCCATTTGATTTCTGTGCTGTGTGTTAATTAATATGTGTTATCTGATCCAGCATGCTATGAAAGGATTAGGCACCTGTGAATAACCTAGCCAGTATGTTTTGTTTTCAAACCACTGCCACAATCGTGTTCAATTTGACGCCTCTTGAATCAAAGCTCCGGCAGTATAAAAAAAAAAAAAAAAAAAGAGAGGACGGTCTCATAAGGAACATTGGAAAGTCGAGGCTCCGAGTTCGGCCTTGATCATGGTTTTAATTTTGTCCCAGATTCCCACCCACACGATCCACAGCAGTTGCTTTGTTGCCATGAGGATTAGAAAGTATGAAACAGAGAGCAAAGTCAGCAAGAAGGACATAGTCAGACACTTTTTGTATAGTTTGATAGTGTGGAAGCTTCTATTGTTGGTGGTAGACAAATCTAATCCGAGTCTTTGTAAACGTGCTTTTATCGGCATGTTTCTTTGCCATCCGATATGTTGTTTGGTATGTTATGCATTGCATAGTGTAGTTTTTCTTACAGTTTGTGTTGCAATTATTATTCATTGCTTCATGTTGCACCATTTTTCCAAAGCACATTACTAGAACAAAAGTACTGAAAATCAGATATTAATCGATATGGAAACTAGATTTGAGCATGAAAAAGTCACATTCAAGGAAAGAACTTAAACTTCCCTGAATAGTTATAGTTAAGAATGAGCTTGAACTGTATCAGAACAAATATAAGAGCACATAGACTAAAATATTCCCATGGACCACTACGGAATCTACCTGGACAACTGAGGAATTACATAGATATAAGACCACATGGTAATATAAAAGAAAGTACCGTATTTTTCAGACTATAAATCGCACTTTTTTTCATGGTTTGGGTGGTCCTACGACTTATACTCCGGTTCGTCTTATATATTAAAATTCTCACACTAACAGCCGTGAGAGCCTCTACTGCACATGTCTCCTGCTTGTGTCCTGCTGCTAGTAATGAAATATACAGCCGAAAACAGTAATCAAGCAGCAGAAAGAAAGTTTGAAGTGAGTGAGAAACTTATGAGGGACTGGGGGAAAGCGGGGATGGAGTACACAGTTTGGTAAACTTGTTCTGTTCTGTTGTTTATGCTATAGTTATCTAAATAACTCTTCATATGTGATGTTAACAGCCTGTTGTAATGCTATTGTTATTACTATAATTTGCCTTTCAAGATGAAATGTTGGTTCCTGGTCTTTGATTTTATAAAATAAATTTCCCCCAAAAGATGCGACTTATATGTTTTGTTTTTCGTCATTATGCATTTTTTGGCTGGTGTGACTTATAATTTGGAGCAACTTGTAGTCCAAAAAATACGGTACTATGATTTAATGCTTAAAGTCACATTCTGTTGTCTAAATATGGAGGAATTGTATTGGAATTGGTATTGAGTATCCAGTTTATTCCTTAGTATACACATAGATAGAGTAAAAATTCTGTCCTGCCACAACGGGACAGTAAAGGGAATTATACGTCATACTGGTTTATTATGTTAAGAAATTGTAACTCAAATAGAAGATTGAGGTCTGCACAGCTCATCTTTATCATTACAACATTAACAGACAATGCCTTGGTAGAGGTCTTTCATGTTTATGGTTTTCATAAGTACCGTTTTTAATGAACAATGCACTGAGGGCTCTTTTTCCCACCAGGTCGCACCATTATATTGTCCACACACCACATGGACGAGGCGGACATCTTGGGTGATCGCATCGCCATCATCTCCAATGGAAAGATGCGTTGCTGCGGCTCTTCCCTCTTCCTCAAGAAACAGTTTGGGAGCGGCTACTACCTCACTCTGGTCCGAGACGGAACTGAAAAGATGACCACCCAGCGGACAGGCATGATACAGAATAAAGAGGTACAAAACAAATAGGCTCAGTTTTCATCTACTTATATGAAAGTTGGAAGTTAAATCCCCGCTCTGTGTCATCACTGCTATAATGTCATTTTGCAAAACATGGCCATTTTACCTACAAGTTTTGCATCTGGCTAAAATACAACATATAGGCTTAAAGGCTCAGTACCTGATTTTTATTGTGTTTACAGTTTGTGTTTAGAGTGGTCCAATAGTTATTCCTCTCTTTTTAATACAGTCCTAGCATCCTAATTATTCACCACAATGAGTCTGTGAGTCAAAGGCCAGAGTGAAGTTTTCCTATCATAGTAATGCTAACTGACATCCTAACAGCGCACCAGCAGTACTTCTTGGTTCATGGCCAATGAAAAAACATAATAATTAGATTAGATTTGACCCTAAGAGCTGCTTTGACATTATGTCTGTACTGGGGCAAGACAAGTTATACTTTATTACTTGGAAAGAATATTCTACATTTGGTACATTTGGCACTTACATGTTTCTTGACTAAACAGATAACCAAAACATGATGCATGATATGACATCATGTATTGCTGAAAAATAAATACAACCTGGTCTGGCTTAAACCAACATAATATCACACTGATTTATACTGCAATACTGTCCTGAAGCAATGCGTAGTGAGTACAGCTCCCCGACAGAGCTAGCTCTGAATTTTAGTACTATAACATAAAATTACTGGTGCTGATAGGCAGTGCACTGGAGGGGATCCATTGTTGCACATTAATGATTTACAGAATAGACACTATTGTTAATTGGGACATTTAGCTGACACTGTGAATCCCACTTGTTTCTTTCAAAGGAGATAGGCTTTCATTGCCTTTCTTTAATAATGCACAAAGCCAGCGCAGATAGCATTTAAGTGCATGTGTGTGGTTTTGTTATGTGCAGATAAACATGCCATTGCTGATTAGGACCCCCGCCTGACTCCTCTCTCCATCTTGATAACTTTCAATTGAAAACCATTGTAGTTCCAATTTTAAAGGACACCTATTATGCAAAATTTTGGATCTTTTTACCTCATTACAACATTGTTCCTTCATCGAAAACACACCTGGAGTTGTATTTAGCTTCATTCACTTGTTTCAGTAATCCTGTTTACGAGTTCCTTTCCTCTGAGGCTCACTTGACATCATAGGTAAAAATCCATAGCCCTCATGTCTTGTTTTTATCATTAATTACTGCCAAACTTGTTCTGATCATTTCTGCCATCAGATTGCATTACTACTGCATACTCGTGTTAGCTTACAAATATATTGTATAAGCAGCTCTTGAGGTCAAAATATTTCTGGTGCATGCTCTCTGCGTCTAATTATAATGTGTTTTATTGCCCCATAGTTGAAGACCCTGCCAGCATGTTAGTTGTTGTTGCTTTACTGTGCTTATAAAGAGCTTATAAATCATCACGGTGAATAATAAGCATGCTTGGATTGCAGAAGGTATGCGAGGAATAACACTTCAAGGAATAACCATTGAAAAGAGTTGAACTACTTCTTTTTTCAAATTTTTTAAGGCAGTAGAAATCTGATACAGCATCTTTAACTATCAATCTACAACACTTACCTCCTCCATATCTGGCCTATCATTAAACACTTGAACTTTTCTACCATTGTGTACCCTTTCTGTAATGATCCATGTTTAGTCCCTCCCAGCATGAGAATTGGCAACTCCTAGGCCTTGGATGGTACTAATTGTGGCAGGGGAGAGGGGGGGATTCTCACTTGGGTTCACACGTACTTCGTTTTAATCAATAGGAGCAAATGAACAAGAAGCACTAATGCCAGCAGGGCCAGTGCAATTACCATTAGTCTGCTGGCTCTTTGAGGTGAGAGGGGCCATTCATTTCAGAGGTATAAATAAACACCTTCTTTTAGGGACGGTGGACGGGCACCCAAACTGTTATCCCTTTGTAATTGACCGGACTGCAGTTTCAACATTTTATTTCTCCACCATTAAACTTCATGTAACCATAAAAATGAGTCCTCACTTTCATCCCATCTTAATTATGGCCTTCTTTATTGTCTAGACAGGAGAAAGACTTTGAGCAGATTGTAGCGTCAGGTTAACCACATTATCTGTCATCGCGTGCATACGGCTTTATTTAAGGCAATTACATCAAATCTTTTGGACGGCTTCCATTATTTGATTAATGCGACACAGGAGTTGTCAAGGAGGCACTGTTCATCATGGTAAGTGGAAAAGCATTTCTAATCCTATTGTGATTAAACAGGAGGAGAAGTGTCCTTTGAGAAGTGGCAGTCCAGATGACGGCATTGGCAGCCAGAGCTGGAGCAGAGATGATCCTTCAGGTACCGGGAATAATTTATAAACAAACAAAAAATTCAGAGTTACACACAAGTAGAGCTGGATGATATGGCAAAAAAAATTCACATTTATGTTGTTGATTTTATTTCACTACATGCAGCAATCTGGAAAGAGTCTTTGTTTCTAAAATGTGCTCTAGAAATCAAGTGCAATGGATTAGATCGTTAAAACACATGAAAAATGTGTTTAATCAAATTTTATGAACAAGACATCATCTGTGCAGTTAGACACAAAGAAACTGTTGATTTTCTTACTCCAAAGTCTGAACTCTGCGTCAAACCACATACTTTTACTGCAACAGAAATGACTTTAGACCTCTCAATGAAAAATCGTACCACAGAGAATATGAAACTATTAGATTGTGATTTGATTAATTCCCTAGCCATTCACACAAGCTGAAATCATACACATCTTTCAAACAATTACAACATTAACTCAGCTTGTTGGCATCACCTGACACTGTCTTGTCATATCCTGATGAAACCGCCCCTCCCTTTCAGTGAATGTTCTTAAAATACATACAGACATAAAGTATTTTTGTTGGTGCTGCCCCATTAGCACAATCAAGCTGTTGCTGTTTTGTCTTTTTTCTGAGATCCGTGTCATGATGAAAGAATCAGTGCCTTTTCAAACATGTTTTCCCTAATTTCTGCTATTCCCTTGTCCTGTCAGATCTAGAAATGCTCAACTTTTTGGCAGTAATGGTTCCATCAGTGTAGTTTACTATTGTTCTTCGCCTTTGTTGATCTGTCTGCCCACACAGGACACGTTTTTCCAAGAAGCTGAAATTTGGTTCTTTTTAAGTTATGAAGAATAGCTCTATGTATCAATGAGCAAGCTATAATAGGCAAATCACATGTACCAGACAAGAAATTGGATCACATTTGAGTATGAATCATGCCCCATTTGATAATTTCATCTTTTATATCTTTGTTTGTAGCAATGTTCAGATCAAAATTACTTTTCATTTTTAGCATCTGTAATATTGATTAAATAGCAGACGTAATCATATCTTCACTTGTGACACCACATCCCTCTTTGTTAGCAAATAATTCAACCCGATGTGTGGCTCCATCCCATTTTACTTCTTTATAGATCCCTAAGTAAGCTGCTGGTTGTTACTTCAATGCAAAGCCAAGTAATTATGTATGAGAGGTTGGGGATCAATAATGGATGTGGTGAGTCCTGCAACACTGTCCAGATTGATTCACAGTAAGGCCGGGCTTCAGACTAGATGAGACCAAAGAATTATGTCCCCTGATTGGATCGTCTGTGTAAAGGTCAGACAGGTATGTGCTGATTGCAGTGACTGAATCTGTAAATGTGCAGTGAGAAAACATACTAGGGCATACTAGGTCTTATTCAATTATCGCATTGTTATTCATGTGTTAAGAGAGTAGTGCTTTTGCTGATTTTGTTTTGCTTAGTTGAGGCAGGCGGTAAGAAAACAAGAAAAAAAGAAATGTCCAATTATGAACATTTCAAAAATATTAACACTGAATTACAGAATTACAGAGTTGTTTTTTTGTTTTTTTTTTTCTCAAATAGAGCTTACTTTTTGTTAATGTTACTAATGTCATTTTAAACAGCTCTGATATAGATCAAGACCATTGTAAAACTATTCAGGAAAGATCCCAGTTTTTTCCCATTTATATGATTTGTATTATACATTTTTTTGGATTGACACTTGCTCAGTTGCTTTATGGATTAGGTCTTGGTATAGATTTTCTGATTGCTCAATCTGCAACAAGTTCACAAGGGATTTTTACTGTGATTGCAGAATATAGTGCAAATGAAAGCATTGTTAAACATATGAGCAAATCATCAGGAATTCTTCTGCCTCAAAGGTGTAAGAAAGGAAAGCAGCAAACATAAAAAATAGGAGACACTCTGACATAATGAATCTTTAAAATATGTATTCAATCAAATAAATACATTTTACACAATGTTCTGATCTTGCACACATCAACATGTGATAAACAATATTATGTAGTCACCCCAAGTAATGGATGTAGTTTCATACTGTGTGCTAATTGCTTGGGATCCAGAATACATATTTCTTCAGTACTAAATATGAGTCTGGTCACTGGTAAATTACGTGTTTTCAGATGATCGAAAGGTGGATTAGCCAATCAGGGACACACACAAAATATCACAGGGAGCTGAAATTGCAGATTTCTGCAAAAATCAATGAGCCAATCACTAAACTGTTACTCTGAGGTGAGAGAAACATGATTAAATTCATAATTGATAGGTGACCAGTGAGCTCCTTGGTTTCACATGCGGCACTGAAAAAAACAAATCTGATTGCATGATCACGTTTGGCTTGAGAAGCAGCAGAGGGCATGGGGACCAGACTGATGTCAATTTGTATAAAAAATGCAGAGATCAGATTCTGGTTTTGCCAGTATGGTAATCTTTAATCAATATTTAGTTTAATAAATGCTGAAAGTAATAAGTAATTCCACCCAAGTACATCATGATGTCAAATTAATATGTATAAAAGATAAAGGATGCATTTTGCCAGTCTTTTCCTGTCCTGAAGCCTGAGTGTCTAATTGTGGTGTTGTTTACTTGGCAGACCTGACAGCAGTAAGTCAGCTGGTGCGGCGCCACGTCCCAGAGGCTGTCTTCTTAGAGAGCATCGGTCAGGAGATCACATACATCCTGCCCTACGCTGGCGCCCGCAATGGCACCTTTGCCCTGCTCTTTCGAGAACTGGACTCTGCTCTGGCTGACCTCGGCCTCACCAGCTACGGCATCTCGGACACGACGCTGGAGGAGGTGGGCTGAACGTGGCATCCGCAGGCCTGCCAGAGATTAGCTCAAGTGGGCACATATACAGGGACACAGAGAGGTCAAAGTTCACACAGTTTAGATGCAGTTTAGCTGTCTGGAAATGTGGAGTCAGAGAAATGGTTTGCAATGGTGGTTGGTTCTGTTTAGTTTGTATAGGACTGCAATGATTAAGAACATAAATTTGATTATATTATTTAAACTACTTTAATAACTATGATTTAATTAGCCTTAATAATGCATGAACAAAGATCAGCATGAACAAATTGTTATTTAAAAATGAGTCGCACTTAGCACTCTAGTGCGTAAGCTTAAGCCTTTAAGTCAGTGTTGGGTCATTCTTAATAAATTATTTGTGTATTATGAATTGTTCATGTTTTATTAAGGCTAATTCAAGGCCTAACCATTTTAAAAGTGAAAATGTAAAAGTTGTTAAAGAAATATGAGTTGAGATTATATAGCAAAATTAATCACTTAAGTGGATAGTAATGAGTCATAGTTGTTGTTTTTTTAAGTAGTGATAGACCAGGAAACAGACAAATATATTCCAGTTATAAAGTGAAGTTGTCCAATTAATTGATAATTATTAACTAGCAACTTAAAAGAAATCTCAAAAGCTTAACCTAAAGTCAAAACTAAACTTTCAGTTGTGATTTGATACTGAATCACTGGACAGAATTAAAGCATTATTTTAGGTCAGTAAGTATTCACTTGCAGTTAGGTAAAATTGTACATATTATACTACTTTATTACATTGCAAAGCTTTTTCATTTCAGCTGCTTGCATCAGATGTTTGGTGCTTGTTACGGTTTAAAGTACGCAGTCAATTTTTTGAAATTTACTTCAACTAACCTGAAATACTTCAATTATAATATTTTCAAATGCTCCAGTTCTACATAATTATCCTGACACTGGACGTACACAGCTATTATTGGTGGTTTTCAGATTCTACAGTGTGATGAAGTCATACTCACAGATGGGACCAGATTATCTTACTGTTTACATGATATTTATTGAGTGGTTTTGCTGTATATGTAGAATTGTTTAACTAACTATTCAGCAGTGAGGGAACCTGTTTCATTCTCCTATTTTTGTTGCTTATGGGACCTTGAACTTAATGTCCATGACCGATTATTAAGTACTTTTTCAGTCACTTTTTAAATTAATATCTAAATGTTAAATTCACCAAGATTTAACCTTATCATTTATATTAGTGAGCACACTACAGAACCTTTTAACAAATCTGCACTTTTAACAATCATTTGACCTACCCACATCTGCATTAAAGCTCGCTTTCGTCCTCCAATTTCTCCAAGGATACAGCAGTGTTGTGTAACCATTATGGTACAAATTTAAACAACTACAAAAAAATGGTTCTCACTAGCGTGTTCTGCAGCTTTCTGTAGGAGGTACGTTACTCTTTGTTGTTATGCGTTTGCACCGATTTTGTTGGTTCCCATTGGGCACTGCACATTTCAAATGTAGAAATCAAGAAAATCTGTTTTATTCATTTGTTTTAAATCTAGATTACAAGTTTAAAATGGCCAAATCAAAGCATAATGATCCAGAGGTAGTAGAGAAAAGCACAATCTATTTTCTTTAAAGGGTCCATATTACGCTATTTTCTGATCTATGTTATAATGTTGTTTTCTTACCGCAAACATAGCTGGAGTTGTGTTTTGTTTCATTTCCACATGTTTAACACACAAACCCTGCACATTTAGGCTGAGCTCTCCTCTCAAACTGAAAACACTTGTGCTGACGTGTTAATACAGGAAGTGCTCCACTATGTTTTTAAATTCCGTACACCTTCACTGAAATCATTTGAATGATTTCAGCCCTGGAATTACCAAAAAAAACAAAAAAAAAAAACTACAGCTTCAGAGACATCACAAGGTGGAAGAAAGTATTTTGAGCTTTGGAGATATGTACTAATAATAAAGAGCTACTCAAACGTGTGAATGAAACAAAACACAACTCCAGGTATGTTTTTGAGTAGGTAGAAACATTCTAACTTGGTTTAAATCTCACAACAGTAATATACAATGCACAAGTCTTGGTCCATATTCCTCATTATGACTACAGTGTCTTATTTGTGCAGTAGCACTGAGTCATGGGTGTGTTTGTCATGCAGCCCCTTGCTGTAGTCTAAAGCTGAGTGACTGCAGGCTAATGTGGCTCTTGTAAGGCAGACATGAATCAGACACTGCCAAGCCTCGGGCAAAGTGAATAATTCTCTGTGAATGTCAAACTCCATACAAGACCACACTTCTCCAGTCTCTTTTGAAGTCCACTAGTTTGATAATTGAAATAACAAGATGCAATTTTAATAATATGGGGTTTTGTAAATAACAGCAACATGTTAAGCCAGAGTTTAAAGGACTATTTTCTGATCTGTGGTAGTGGTGTTTCTTCATCACAAACATACTGGACCTGGAGTTTTATTTTGTTTCATTCACACATGTTCATCACACAAATCCTGCATATTTAGGCTGAGTTCTGCTCTCATACAGAAAACATTACACCGTGCGATGCCATGTGGTAATACGGGAAGTGCTCCACAGTGTTTTTAAACTCCATACACCTTCACTAGAATAATCTGGATGATTTCAGACCTGGAATTGGCCATCTCTACTGAAAAAAAGTAAAAGGTAGCTGTTAAATGACAAATTACCAGTACATGACATGACAGAGCATTAACTAATAATAAAGAATTATTCCAACATTTGTGAGTAAAACTAAACACAATTAGAGGTAACATTGTGCTTTAAAGCTTACAAGAATCCATTTTGTAATATAGGAACTTAGGGCAAATTCAAATAATTCATTTTATTAACTTAATGAATCAAACATAGAAATTTGACTATGCTGACTTGGTTTGATCCTGGTTTGACCCTGGTCTAGTCTTGGTCTTGTCCTGTTCTAGTCCAGATTTGGATGTGTTATGCACTATGTACTCAAATCCATAAGAGTTGAGCAATTAACCCCTTAACGCCGAATGTCACAAATATATGATAATATGATAAACTTTTTGGATCAAGATATAAGCCAAGATAGCTGCTGCATTCCCCCAGTGCCAATTAGTGCATATGCAGGACCTTCCTAGGAACCTTTGGCAAGCTTTTGGTTCTAGTTGTTGCAAATTTGCAGCAAACCCAAATTTCAATTATTATTATTTTTTGCTATAGTCAAATGAATAATCTCAACTTAATTTACCATCTCCTTAAATGCAAGAACACACACAAAACATTTTCTATATATATCTATATAAATCCAATCATAGAGGGGTTAAACAAACCAAATAAATTAATTTGTGTTTTTAAATTATCAATTATGTAAAAAAAAATGGCTAAATCATGAAATCAAGGTGTACTCCTAACTTTCTTATTGACAGAACAAAGTTATTATATGCAGGAAACGGTGGAATACAGTGACACTTCAGGTCAAGGATAAGAACATAAAAAATAAGATAAGATCACAACTGTCCAAAGACCTACTCTCTGCTAAAGTACATACTAGTTTAGAGTCAATTTCCACACCAGAGTAGAATATTTATTTCGCCTTATGCCAGTTAAAAATTTCCATCACCAAATCAACACTGGCAAGTTTAACGGCGATGTACCCAATTTTTACTTTCTTAAAAAACTGAAAAATGTAACAAGTTTGCAGCAGTCTGTATTTCTCACTTTCATAACACATCCAATTTATTTATAAGCTCTTTTTCCAACTTCCAGAGGCCAGAGGAGAGATTTGCCATCATGATAACACTAACAACGACTAGCATGTTAACGGCGTACTACTAATTCTCAGACAATAAAACACATGCAATGCTATTTGGCCAAATTTGAATTACTGCCCTACTCCCCAAAGAACTTTGTGTTAAAAAAATTGAGAACTACCCAGCACATATTAACAATACTTAAAAACAGAAGGTCAGACGGGTGTGATATTTTGACATATGGCCCTGATTTGATAAATAAACCTGAGATGAGAACTGCTTTCAAAGGGGCCAGTTGGCAGAAGCTCAAGCAAATGTTAGCATCTCAACGGGCGATTTTTCAGTAAATATAACTGAAATTATTCCTAAATGCGCCGAAATTCTGACCAGCCAAAGGGAAAAGTCAAATACAAGTCAACATTTCTGCAATATTCAGTGGCTTGTAAGCAGTGCGATATAATGATGCTGGGTGCCTATGCTCTTTCACTCATACACGGTTTGTTGGTTTTTACAGATTTTTCTGAAAGTAGCAGAGGATACCGGAGTGGATGCACAAATACCAAGTGAGTTCCACAACATTGCAGACTCCTGTTTGATAAGAATTTAAAATGGTGATTGACCTGAGAGCATTTTACTACTACTTTTATTTAGTAACTTTTTGCCATATGTTTGCCAGTTTGATAGTAATTTAGGGCAGAGGTTATGTGCAGTAGAGTTGTCTAAAGTATCGGAAATCAGATTCTAATCGATACTAAAGTTTGTATTGAAACTAAGCAAGTAAAAATGTAAAACGTAAAAAAAAGTTTTACCATGAGTTTTACTAGATCTAGTGTAAGACTGAATGGTATAATAAACAAGTACTATTCTTTTGTGTTGAAAATTACAATATTGCCTTAATAAAAGAGCTTTTTGGATTATAATTTGGTTATCAGAACCAGTATCGAGTATCAAGTGTATTATTTGGTATCAAAATTGAATATAATATCATGACAACACTAATTTACATTTATTTATTTTAATTTATGTTGCTGAAATTAGACATAATAAATGAAAATAAAATAAATATAACAACAAAGCTATTCAAATGCATGATATTAAAGCTACACTAAGTAACTTTTCTAATAATGGGTCTGTCACCTGCTTGTCTCCATGGATGTGTTATTGCTTTGCCTTGAATGTTGTACAGCAGGGGTGCTCACACTTTTTCAGCATGCGAGCTACTTACAAAATGACCAAGTCATAAAGATCTACCTAATACAAAGCCAAGCAAACTGCACTGAAACACTCTGTGCCCCTTTTTTGGACCCTCACCCACAGTTTGAGAACCTCTTTAAGAGAACTTCCTCTGGCACTTTACACAAAACTGTGAAAAAAGTGAAGGAAGATTTTAAACCTGTTTTTTAAAGTTCCAAACTGGAGTTGCATTCTTTTCTGGTTTTGCAGTGATATTTATCAGCCTCTGCACGTTTACCAAACCAAACGCACATCGTGACAAACATAGATGCATTTGTGCACTTTTGTTAGACAAACTTCAGCCAAATGTGGCAGTAGGTCTGTTCTGTAGATCCGCTCTATGCTGTGGACCTGCTTTGTGCCAACACTGTAACACAAATTTAGACTTATTTTTGCACCCCTGTTGTACAAAATTGAGTTAAGCAAAATTTCATGTGTTTTTAAGAACCTTGAAAAACACCTACTTGTCAAAGAGAGATAAATTTAATGCCATATTGTGGAACATTTCAAGATAAAACATAAAAACTGCATGAACACCTCCACCAGAAAAGTTACATAGTGCACCTTTAAAGCTACTTAAACAACCGTGGCAATCCTATGCTATGCCTGTAATGTAAAAAAAAAATAGATTTTGAACATTAAACATGAAATTGTACTTACTACATTTTTACTTACATTAATATTTTATTTGGGTTTATAAATAATTAATGGACTAAAATAGGACCTTTTATTTCTATATGTTTAGCAATGAGAGTAGATAGATACCTCCATTAAAAAAAATTAAAAAAAAAAAAACATTGCTCAAAATTCTGTGCTGTCAAAGTCTGTTTAGTGATGTAAGTGTTTTTTTTAAGCTCCTCGTACAAGCACATCGTATATTCTCACTCTCTCAGTCCCTTTTTTGTTGTTTCTTATTGATTGACCCTCAGCGGATGAATAGCTCTCCTCTATATATTTTTTATTTCCCCTCAGTTGTAAATAACGTTTTGAGTTTTACCACCAAACGCTATTGTTCACATTTCTAAACACCTGGCTTTGTGCTTTTACAAGGAATAATATGGCTTCACAGGGAGAGAGCTATCCTTAGTGTTATTTATAACCTCAAAATGGGTCAGGCCAAAACAACATATCTTATTTGTAATTCCCATAGCAACCATAGAGCCGCTGGTACGGGACCGTAAGAAGAGCTTTCATAAACACAAACGAAACAGCGTGGCCAGTATTTCCAGTGTAACCCAGAATGGCATAACAGGTAAGTCGAACAACAGTTTGTATTGACGTAAAGTGCACCTTCATTTATTTTCTACGAGATGTGTTGACTTATGGTGTTCTATGTTCTGTGTTTTGTCTTGTTCAGATATGAAAGAAAAGTTTTCCTATAGCGTCGAAGGTAGGTAAAGCTTAAATAATACAGCGGTTCCAACCTTTTGCAGTAAAAAAAAACAAAAAAACACATTTGCAAGAGTTGTAGAATTTTAATAGTTATAATAAATTATAGTTTTGTGTTGTTTGTTTCAGAATTATTTCGTAAAACGTACAGTAGTTGAACACATTTTTTTCTAGTTTGCAATGCCAAAATACTTAAGAAGTATAGTGTCAGTTTTGTTCAGTACTTTATTTTATTTTTGCATTTTTAACCTCATGAAATAATTTATAACTTTATTTAGCTTTCACCGGAGAAGTAAAACTCTCCCAAGTTAAAAGTTAATCAAACAGATGTGCACACTTTACAGTCAAATTGGGACCAAACAAAAACAGAACTAAGTCTGAACTACATCACAAAGTTTACATTAAGACTAGACTGAACCAAGGACTGTAGCCTTATATGTAGGGCTCAATCCTGCATTTATATTTGATTTTATATTAATTGTTGCCATTTAACACAAAACATTATCACATTTCTTCCTCCAAAGTCTAAAACTCTTTGCTCCAAGCCACTTTCTTTGACTGGAGATTGGTTTGCCTAATGATGCGTTGCAGCTGACGTCATCAACCTACCCTTAGGAGTGTGAAGCTAAATGGAAGCACTACTGTGTTAGAAGCTCTGTTACTCAAATTACACTTAATTTGAGATTTATTTTAACACAATCTGGCCAGAAAGAACTGACTTAGCTGGAACAGGTGAGCCGATTTGTGCTGCTAAACACACTTCTCTCACATAAAATTACACTCACCTTTTGTGTAAATCAACCTCCTAAACAAGACCATGAAACAGGGTAGCCTCGGGGTCTCAAAAGTCTTAAAAATGTCTTAAATTTCATGTTCCTAAATTAAGGCCTTAAAACATCTTAAATGATGTTGTCCAAGTGTTATTTTTATCAGAAAGGTCTTAAATTTCATTAACCTATTTTTTTGTAAACTCAACCGAGCTGCAGTGAAATGTTAAATAGGAAAATTAAAACAACAATGTGAAATTTTGTGAATGAAAGTCTAATTTGGAGTATGCGCAAACAATACTTTGGTTTCTGGCTCCGGTGGCAATGAATAAACAATCAGTACAGTGGAGGAAGACGTTGGATGGCTCATGGGGAAGTGTATTCTATAGTAGTTGGTTGGTCATTATTAGAATTGGATCTGGTGTTTTTCGCTCACATTATGGGTGCGATGTTGGTCTTAATTTTCATTTAAGTGGTCTTAAAAATGTCTTAAAAAGTCTTAAATTTGGGGTGGTCAAACCTGGGGATACATTGATGAAAGCTCATATTGATCACTGGCTCCTGAAAATGTGTTACCATCTTAAAACTATTTTGTCTGTTTGTTAATGTGTGAATTGTGTCAACTTCTGAACATTTCACCATAAAGACTCATGTAGAACACTACCAGAGAGATGTCTCTGCAAAGTATCATTTAAAAACCTCAAGCTGATCACTGACGATTTGACACTGAATTTTCATCTCAATGCAAATTAAAAGAATTGGACAGCCCTACTAAGACATGTACTTTGTTTTAAGACTATTTAAACTGTCTCTTACCTTTTATAATGCATACTGGGACATTGCCACTAAAGATCTAGTTTAGTTTCCTTATACTGAGTGCGTATATCTTGATAGCGTTAATTCTTATTGGACATCTTTAAAGCATGTAGATTCTATATGGTCCAACACTGGAGAGGTGAAATTGCATTAGCTGACACATTCACCATTGCTTTTACTTATGAGCAGCTATTATCTGTCTCAAACACATGTATAAATGATAGATTCGCTTCTCTTAATGTTCACCGCAGACCTCTGGAGGCAGGACGGCGAGGGGGGGCGGGGCACCGTGGTGATTGGCGGGTGGAGTCTGATCAGGAGGCAGTTCCTGGCGCTGTTCATCAAGCGCTTCCACCACGCCCGCAGGAGCCGCAAGGGACTCATCGCGCAGGTAATGGTCCCTGTCTGTCACGCTGATGGATCTGGGGGCTTAGGCTACACCGGAGATCACTGTACTATTGTACCAAATGCACGTTGGCTTTCCAAATCAATTAATGACACGTATGATCGAGTACGCTAATTTGAGACCTGCAGGGAACAAGTCATGCCATCCATCTTGGCCCAGTGTGTAGTGTAGTTGTACAAAAAAAAGTATATGGGACAAGTTTTCAAAAGATTGTGATTTTTTTTTTTTTTTTGAGGAATAAAAAAAGTTATTGAAGGTGAACTCTAACTTTCAGGGAGATGTTATTGCTTCTGCTCACAGTAAGAATAAGTGTTGTAAAGTACTATTACAGTCAAATGAAGTTCACCAAGGCTAACAATTATAGGGGCAAAATTAGAGCCGAGTTCCATGTTAGGAATAAGAATTGATTTACCATCAAAAGCAAAATAACAACACCAGGATCATGTATCATTATTATTATTTTGAGATTTAATTATCTTGCTCAAAAATGTCAGTTTGCTTCTTTGCTTTGACCCAGTGTGGCTTGAATTCATCATACTTTATTCATCAAAGAAAGTATGCGGTAAAATGAAATGAAGACCCACTTTTTTTCCAAATCTGAATCTCCAATTGACAAACAATAGCTCGTAAATGTGCAAAAACGATGTAACGTTCAGAGAGATATTATTGCTTCACCTGGAATTCAATGTGTAAACCTGCTCACAGTAAGAATAAGTGTTGTAAAATACTAAAATTTCAAACTTGTTTTCAAAACTAAGGACTTGATACTTCACTGATTCTAATACTACAATGATAATAAAAAAATCACTCTTTGTTTAGTCACAGTAGAATGTGATTTTCAACATGTTAAATCATAGTGTATTCTTTAGGCAAGGCAAGTTTATTTGTATAGCACAATTCGTACACAAAGTAATTAATATCCCTCCATCCCTCAGGTATGTTACATAGTGTTCCATGGACCTATACTATGTCTATGTCATCTTATACCGCATTTTTTGGAGTATAAGCCACTTAAAACCCTTTAATTTTGTCAAAAATCGACAGTGTGCCTTATATATTAACTCTGGTTGTGCTTCTGGCTGTGATATTATGGGGTAGACAGTGCTCAAAAATTTGTCAGAATGTTTTAGTACGACTTTGGTAAACTGCAAAGCCGCACCGCTTGATGGATTGTTGGAGCATTATGGCTACCGTAGTCAGGAGCCTCGCGGAGTTAGTCTAACAGAAGCTGACAGCATCAGGGCACAAGGAGTGAGCTGTTTTTTCAGTGCGTATAGTTCATGCAAATTAGCCCTGTGGTTTTAAGTTTCATTTCTGTAAAACATAAACAAATGTGCGCAAAGCTGCATTAAACACATTATTACTCAATGTATATTTGAGTCCTCCTTGTGGGAAATAATAAAAAAAAAAACTTAAATTATCCACACACATTCACATTCATAATACACATTCACCAAGACAGGGAGGCAATGCCAGGTGAATTATGCCACGATCTGCCAAAGGATCGTGGATGCCTGGGCTAAAGTATCAGTCTCAAGTGTCGTCAGTTTGTTTGGCTTAATGCGCCTTATCATCCGGTGCACCTTATGTATGAAAATAGATAAGAGAAATTATTGTACCTTATAGTCCGAAAAATACAGTATTTGTTCTGATACAGCTCAAGATCATTCTAAAACTATTCCCTGTCAGTTTAAGCACACTGAGCAATTAAATATAACAATTACATAAAATACAAGATATTGTTTCAGCGATACAAAACACCTGAAAAAATTTTAATTGCAAGTTTAATGCCATGCTGTGGAAAATTCCAGTTAAAGCAGTTTTATTCCCACATAGACAAACATGTGACAGACCCCCTTCCAGAAAAGCTATATAGTCCATTTTAAAAGTTTATCTATTTCCCAACAAAACATCATTTTTCAAAATTATAATGGGTAATTAGATCAACTAAAAACTTTGTAAGACTTGCAGTAGTTTATTGTCTGTTGCTGTCTTCTTTAAAGTGACTTTTAAATGAATATATTCTTGTCATTTAACTTATTCATCTTTATACTTATTCACTGTAAATTTGATCACATAGGGTACATTTTTCTCATCTGTAAATGCAATTAACAGGAACATTTTACGACAAAAGCGGCCTCTCTCTAGCTTTCATTAAAATTCACATTCACAACTTTACCTTGCTTAGACACACGCAGCGGCTCTGCAATGTTGTTAAATCCTGTCACCTGGTTTGTGTGATTGACGCCAGCATTGTAAAATGACACCTATGATTAGCTTTGCCTTCACTTTAGCCACATGCTAATCACGTCTCTTCATTATCTTTGTATTAGACCTGATCGCACAAGAGTTACAGGGACAACGTGCTGCTATTCAAATTATGTCTCTATCATTTTGTTTCTGGCCAACATAATCCGAAAAGTCAAAATCAATAGATAATTATAACTGAATATGTCGGAAGTAATTTGCGCAGATAGCAGTTTATTCCCAAAAGTTCAGCCGCATCCTCTGTAAACGAAATAGATTTTTAGGTAAATGTCATGTTTGGTTATGACACAATGAATTCACAGAACCTGCATGGCAGCATTTTTAAGGCTATTTATAAAGACTGTGTTCACTGTTCACATTGCGTTAGAAAAATAGTGAAAAATATCTTTTATTGTTTGGAAATGGCAAGATTTGCACTTCAATGCTAAATGCAAATTTTGTTGACAATGAGTCCAAACAGTTCCTCAAAATTTCCCCAGATTAAATATATATTTCTGTAAATATGGTGTTCACTTCTACATTGCTATTTCTGGTATCAAGCACAACTTTTCCGCAGTTTTGTATTTCATAAAACACAAATTCAAAACATGAGTAGAATACATATACTATAATATAAAATAAAGTGTAGAAATATCACCATATATCCTCTACTCAGTTTCTTACTTTTTTCCATTTTTGTAGCCTATTTAAATTGTTAATATTATAGACCAGTGTTTCCCAAACTTTTTTTCTGGGGACCCATATTTTATAAGTCACAAACTTTTGCAACCCAAGTGACTAGACATTATTTGTAAATCACAAAATAAATTTGTGACAATTATTGAACATTAATGAAGATATTTTATTGTTGACTGAGTGATCGTGTCTCTCTGAACAATTAGTATTACTCAAGTTTTAAACAATGAAAAACAGTAATCAGTGTTTCCCACAGAAAACTGGTTAGGCAAGGGTGTGCTGCCGAAAAAGTGAGGAAGAAGTGAGAAGTGGGGAGTATGTATATGTATATTGCAGACCTACTGTACATGCTAATCGTGACAAGACGACCCAAAAAAAAATCTCTTGCAACCCAGTCTTTGAGAAACAATGTTATAGATAATACACTTGATATAGTAATTTTGCACAAGGATCGTTATAATATATAAAAAATATATAATGAATATAATGTGATCCATCCATTTTCTTCTGCTTATCCGGGGCCAGGTCGCAAGGGCAGCAGTCTAAGCAGGGACTCCCACACTTCCTCACCCCAGACACGTCCTCCAGCTCCGCCGGGGGGGACCCCAAGGCGTTCCCAGGCCAGCCGAGAGACATAGTCCCTCCAGCTGGCCTGGGAATATGATATAATAATCAATACTAAAACCAATAACCAAAACCAATTATACAAAAAAAACAAAACAAACTAACTAACAGTATTTGTACTTTCCTTAAATAGTTCTACAATGATCATGAACTTTATTAGAACATGGTAATATAAAGTAACTTTATTTCATGTTGAAAATGACAACCTTTTGAGTGAAAACAGCATTTTTATTATTTTGTGCTTTCGAAAAATAGAATCCTGCATCGAGTCTGCATTCCTTGAAATTAAGTTTGACATTTTAGTATAATACAAAACTGCATTTGCAATATTATGTTTTCATATGCCTCCCACCCCAAACTGTGTAATAAGAAAACCAATTCAACAAATATATGACTTAGTTTCAACTTAGGAGACTGAAATAATGCAGGTGAGAAGTAACGCCCTCACCTCACAGTGCACTCCGCTCAATTTGCTGCAGCCCCATCTCCATTAGTCACTGTCTCTCATGGGCGTCCCTCTTTAGCGGGACACGGAGAGGACGGTGCCAGTACAAGGACAACGGGGCTACTGTTCCCCTCGCTCTCCTCTTTATTCATTTTGGCCCAAGGTTTTTCGCCGTCGTCATGTCAACACCTCCCGTTGTCAGGAGATATGATTGTTCCAGAATGATCTATGCCAATATGAGAGGTTAGGGGGAATGTAAATACGATTATGGCAGGGGACACAAAAGGAGTGATTTATGGGCAGAGAAGTTGGAGACTGGCGGGACTTTGGCAATGTCAGAATGAAAAGACAGATTTTAGAAACGGAAACAGTTTTAGAATTTTGAGATGAACAAATGTACTGTTTTGTAGGTGTGGGGTAACACAATGTAATCAACACACTAGTTTATAATATAGTTACACAGTTTCTTCCATTAGTTAAAATTAATTTAAATTTATTTAGTAATTCAAAAAAGTGAATTACCGTATTTTTCGGACTATAAGGCGCAGTATCAGTAGTATTGAATTCTCTCATCTTTTTTCATACTTAAGATGCACAGAATTATAGGGCGCATTAAGTCAAACAGACGGACGACACTTGAGATTAATACTTTAGCCCAGGCATCCATGATCCATTGGCAGATAGTGGTATTATACATTGAGTAATAATGTGTTCGATGCAGCTTTGCACATATTTGTTTACGTTTTACAGAAACGAAACGTAAAACCACATGGCTAATTTTGCATTAACTATAAGGGCTGAAAAAAAAAACTTCCTTCGTTCCTTGTGTGCTGATGCACTTCTGTCGGATTAAAGGACACAACTCTGTGAGGCTTCTGACTACAGTAGCTGTAATAGTCCCACAATCCATTAAGCGGCTTCGTAAGTTACCAAAGTCATACTAAAACATTTTGACAGATTTTTGAGCGCTGTGTACCCCGTAAAATCGGTTTGAGGTCAGTAAGCACAACCTGAATTAATACATAAAGCGCACCAGATTATAAGGTGCACTGTCGGTTTTTGAGAAAATTAAAGGATTTTAAGTGCGCCTTATGGTCAGGAAAATACATTATGTTTGTTCATGAGTTGAGTCTAAAGATGCAGTGCATGACTTTTCTGCTGTAATCGCTTTGCCTTGAATGTTCCTCAGTATGGCATTGAAATGATCAACAACTGACTAAGTCACTGGTCAGGTCTGTGGAGAGGCAAGCAAGAATACACTGTTAAAAAAACAAAATACATTAAATGTTATTAAATACATGTAAAATTGATTACTTTAGTGCCATACTACAGAGCTCTCACTCTCTCTCTCTCTCTCTCTATATATATATATATATATATGTTAATATCTGTATTTAACATCTCCGTGGAGACAGATAGGTATACTACTACTACTTTCTATATTGTCTTCTCTAGCTGGAGTCACTTTCATCAAAGCAACGCATGTGTTTATGTTTTAAAACCATTCTAATCCATCTAATACAGATCAAATTTTTATTGACTTTTACTGAGAACACTTGTTAACTTTATCTCTTTATAAAGTAGCTACATTTTACTGACTAAAATCAAAGCAATATAAATGTTTGTTGGGAAAACAAGTTTAATGTAATAATGAGGCGTTTGATTTTTGCTTAAAATGAAACATCTTAATTACTTTGGTTGTTCTGCGTATAATCCTTTCTGATTCCTCTTAATCCCCTTCAAAGTGGTGAAAGTCCTAAACTCATGTATTGTTCATGGAAGTACAGGCTTTGTAATGACTTCTGTCTGTTTTCGTCTTTCCCTACTCCACTAGAAGAAGTAGTAGCTGTCACCTGCAGTTACCACTGGAGAGAGAGAGAGAGACAGGCAAAACACAGACTGAATTGTTCTTTTTACCTATTCACTCCCTCTGCAACACTTTATCTTTCCTTTGAGTACATTACTGTAGCCAATATTGTTTTTTTCCAATCTGAGCTTCTTCAATTGTCCTCGCAAATTGCACGCTATGCAATTAATCAAGTATGCAAACCTCCCAGAGCCTACCGATGATTAAACAAAAAAGATACCCTAACAATGAATGGGAATTGCTTGGTAACAGAGTCAGACTTGGTTGGTATTTCTGTATTAAATATAGCACAAAGGAGGACAAGGGAGTAATTACATTGAGTCCCACAGTGATGACGGCATTGTGGGAACTGTTTAATCAAGCACATAACGCACAAAGAGAGGCCTTAACAAGTCAGTGTTGCGCATATTAATGTGTGTATGTTGTGTTGATTGCATCAGTCTCTTTTGTAATGATGGCACAGTGAATGACACGAGATGAAATGTAGTCTGCTGCCATGCTTGAGCACATACACAAGGAGATAACTGATACAATGAAGTGTTTTGTTATTGGACTTAGAATGCACCGCTGACAATGCTTGAGTGTTAGTGTAAAACATTTTATAGTGTCTCTCTTCTAGTTCTAGGGGAAATGCACTATACACAAGGAACATACAATTTTAAAACAGTCAATCAATCGATTGATGGATCCGTTGATTTTGTATACATTTTTTTTACCCAAAAGTATTGCAATTTGATTAATGTTTTTTCGATGTGTGTAAAATCCTTCAGTAGTCCATTCAGAATCCATGGCAAAAGGAGAAATTAAATGTGTCAACTGGTCAAAAGTTTATTTGGTGGAATACGTTTCGCAGCTCATCCAAGCTGCTTCTTCAGTTCTGGTCAAAATGCTGGAGGACACTTCCTTATATCTGCCTTAAGGGAGGAGCTAACTATAATGAAACTACTCTGAAACTAACACATGTACTTGTTACTTGTGTGGAGTCTTATAATAAGACCCCACACTCATTGCAAGATCAGTAGGCCTAGCTAACTAACTGAAACTGTAAATAAGTACATATGTTATTTTCAGAGTAGTTTCATTGCAGTTAGCTCCTTCCTTCAGGCAGATATAAGGAAGTGTCCACCAGAATCTAACCAGAACTGAATAAGCAGCTTGGATGAGCTGCAAAACATATTTGACCAAATAAACTTTTGTCCAGATGACAAATTGAATTTCTCCTTTTCCCTTTTTTCTATGTTCTTTACACAGGACATTCTATTATGTAAATATTGCAGTTTTTATGATCTGATAGTTGCTTCTCAAAACTCAAATTGCAATTTTAATTCAATTGCGAAATCCTGTGTAGTGTTACTACGCACATGACTATTAAAACAAATAAGTGAACTAAGGGGTGTCATGTCACCCATAGCTCACTGAGGCTAGCAATTATAGGAGCAAATGTGTAGCCGAGTTCCATATTAGGAATAGTAATTGTACACACAGAATAGCAAAACAAAAACATTATTATATTCAAAAATAAAAACAAAAATGTGGCTGTTTGCTGCAGGTGTTCCAATCAGTGAGAGCAGGTAAAGGGTGCTCTTGGAAAAGGATCAAAACTAAAACACAACGGACTCCAGGCACTCCAAAGAAGTAAAAATCGGACAAGGAAAAATATAGTTAAAAGGCCTTTATTTAAATGGCCAAAGCCAACATGTTTCGACAATACTGATCTTCATCAGGGCTTTGTTCAAAGGCCTGATGAAGGTTAAAAGTTAAAGGCCTTTTAACTATATTTTTCCTCATGTGGTTTTTACTTCTTTGGAGTGCATGGAGTCCATTGTGTTTTACATTATTATATTCATTGAAATAAATATGTGTTAAAATCAAATCAAGACCATCGTGTTTATCAAATCTGGATTTCCACTTGACAAAACAATAGCTCATAAATAGGGAAAAACAATAATGTAATCTTTAGTCATGATATAATAATGGCATACTATGGTGTACATAATCACCCCTTTTTTATAATTATCCACAATCTATTCTAAAAAAGCAACAAGTACTGACCTAATTATAAATCTGTGTCTTGTGTTTGTAGATAGTTTTACCTGCTGTATTCGTCTGCCTGTCTCTGGTCTTCAGTCTCCTCGTGCCTCCGTTCAAAGAATATCCAACTCTGGAGCTGCAGCCCTGGATGTACGGCCCTCAAAACACATTTTACAGGTAAGCGCCGATAGCTACCAGAATCCTAGCATCAGCATCAACAGCAAATGTGAATGAATAAATAGGCAGAAAACATAACGCCGTATGTACAAGCTCAGAAACCGCAATAACATATCTAATCTTTGACTTGCTGAGGTCATCAGTCTGCGCCCAGTCCCTCCTTCGTTTGCAGATTTAGCTTGTGGGACATATAAACAGAATGAAGTGCTAGTAAAGTAATAAAGCATGTATTGGAAATGACATTGATACCAGCAAACATTGTACCGATCTTAAAATTATTCTGTGGTTTGCGTGAGTGAGTGCTCATTTTAAATCCTTAATGATATTCTTAGGCCTTTTATTTGAGAAATTACCCGCTACGTGACAGTAAAAGCATGTTTTTGGAGTTCAGACAAGATGAGAAATTGGTCTATTTTTGTGGTAAATGGCACAAATTAAAACTCTATTGTTAGTCTTAATTTCACTTCCCAAAAAACAAAAAACTAAGAAAGAAAGTCATATTTACTTGTTTTTAAAATGAATAAATACAATTGAATAGAAATTAGTGAACAGTCAACATGGGGGAAAATTGTGATTGTTTTCTTTCTCTCTTAAATGTTAATTTTTGAGCCTTATTAATAGAAAACCAACCGTACTCATGAGCTGTCTCTGTCCATGGTGCTGAAATCTCAACTGCTGCTTATTGTGCCTATTTAACTGGGATCCAGAATACACACTTCTATAGTTTACGAAGATGTGAGTTACAGAGACTTCCTGTTTTCAGATGGGTGTGATTGACAATTAGATTAGCCAATCAGGGACATGCGTGGTCTGTCTGTACAAATGAAAGAAACTAAACAAATATGGCTGCTTACAAGAGGAAAAGATTATCACTGAGACTGAAAAACACTGCAGAGTTTTGCAGTTGCTGTTAATCTGAGGTGAGAGAAATGTCATTAAAATGATAAATGACCAATGAGCTCCTTTGTTTTACACGTGTCACTGAGAAAAACAAATCTGATTGCATCCAGTGTGGAGACCAGACTGATATTCATCCAAATAAAAAATGCAAAGAGATATCATTCTGGATTTGCAAGAGAGTACACCAGTAATGCATCATCACTAATATTCAGAATAATTTTAACTGTCAACTTTCTTTTTAAATAAATGAAATTGTTGAATTTCTGTGAAGATATTTTTGAAACAGAGAACCCATTTTCAGATATTTTCTTGACGTTCCCATGGGCCAATTACTGCTTTGCCTTTTCTCTTGAGTGACTTTGTTATAGTCGTTTTCCTCAGCAACAGCCTCTGTAACTTCTGCTCTTTAGAGGCAAACCTTTAATGCACACATCATAAACCCTTATTATATTTTCAAGCCTGAATGTTTGATAACGATACATGCCATTTGGAAGATTTGATGACTTTCACTACCTAAAATTATGCAACCAGCACAAATGGGAGTATTAGATTTTATTAATGTAATTTTAAAGTCCGCTTTTAGACTGGTTTTATGTGGTGTATGTGCTTACCATACTTCAGAGCTGATACCACGTGGTCGCCTGCTTTTTTAACTATCTTGCACTTGTGATAACTATTCATTAGTTCCACTTCTTCAGAGTATATGCACCCGTCTACACTTCAGGGCCATCCGATAGTTTTATTATCTTGAATAAGGTGCTAGGCCAGCCATTGTTAATTGCAAAACAGATGGGTGCACATAATCCATTTTTACTATCGCGCCACTCGAATTGCGCTCAGTGGTCGCCGTGGAAATGACCAGCTGACCTTCATGGCGACGCCTCTCAAACAGACAATGAACAGTGAATGACTCCAAAGTGTTGGCTCCGTGCCACATCCGCGCTCTGTTTTAAGTCCCTCCGTAGCCGTAAGATAAAGGGCAGCGCTGCGTGGGCTGTAATGAGACTCAAATTAGAATGGGGAGATTGTTTAAACCTGACTCAGGCCTGTGTGGACACTGCGCTCGGATAGTGCTAAAAGCATAACAACTCTACAGTGGTTTCACATCAGAATAATACTGCAGATCTATAGTAGCTTTTATTGCAGGGTTAGACACACAGAGACATAACTTGAACCTTTTTGGGTTACATATCTTTTGTTCATTGCTTTCATTATTTAAAATGAAAATCTAATATCATTTTAATTGCAAATTCCTCAAAATAAGAGATTATATTTACACTTATGCAATGTAAAAGACTTGATACACATGTGCTGTGCAATTTAGATTGTCTCCATATTGATGTTATTGGTTTGCCTGTAATGTTTCACATATGGCATTAAATGTAGCTATTTCCAAGGAGATAAGCAGGCATTGAGCACTCTATCTACTAGGGGTGTAACGATATTTTCACGGTACCATATTTATTGCGATATCATGGGGAAGCTCACGATATGGTGGGGAGGCTCACGATGTAAAAATATCCAAATCTCTCGGCATGATATTTTCACGATATACATCTCAAGATGCGATATTTATTGTGATATTTTGTGAAGGCTTACAAAACTGTGAATATGCTATTTTTCCTCTTGAAACGCCTTGACAAGACTTAATCCAAACAACTAAGACTTAAAAGTGCTTAGAACTGTTATTTCTATTATCATCTACACTGAAATGGAGCAAAGGATCATGGTCTATGTAGTTCCCTCTGTCTGTTTTTAGCTATTGCCGCACCATAACTCTTAATTTAAGCGTAATTCGATATATTGTGATGGTCCATGATATTATTGTGAGAACTCTGACGATATGATATCACAATATTTCAGTTATTGTTACATCCCTACTATTTACACAAAGATAAGCAGGTCAAATCTGTGGAGAGGCAATCTTCACTCTTAGACTGCATATTTATCAAGGCATTTTTAACTAAATTAAAGTTTAATGTCATACTGTGTAAAAAATTCCAAGCATATATTATAACATTTCCATGGAGACAAGCAGATGGCGAATTCATAACAGAAAATTTACATAGTGCACCTTTAAATTCAGTTTGACCGCTCAAGTTTTAGCTCATAGTGTCAATATATTTCCCTTAAAGTTCATGAATTTCTTTCTGGTAGCCATGTGCTCCATATACAAAGTTGTTCATTTGAGTTTTGAGTCAATCTCTGAATTGTGCCTTTCTTGTTTGTGTTGCCAAGTTGTTTGCAGTAGGTTGAGTTTGGTGAGTGCTGTGACCCGACAGTCAAACTCTCCTTGAATCAATCAATGCTAGACCTGATTTGCTCTAACCCGACCAATAGTTGTTCCTTTTATTTTGGCCTTGCAGTTCTTTGACGATTGCTTTTCTCTGTATTAAATTTTCACTTGTGCAACCTTTATGAATTTTTCAGCAACGACGGGCCAGATAATGCAGAGGTTTCTCGAGTGGTGGATACTTTAGTGAATAACCCTGGCTTTGGTACTCGATGCATGTACGGAGACCCAATCCCGTAAGTATTTTAATGTAAAATAATGCTACTTTCTTTTTTTGTATCTCCTAAGTTTACAAAAGCATGTCAGTGTATCTATCACCTTTGATAAAATTACTACGTGACTTCTAGCATGAATAGTTTATGTAATTTTAAATAAGAAAAGTGTGTTTAAAGATGGAATAGGCTTAATCAACAGTATACCAGGTTTAGAGGTCCTATATTACGCATGGCTTTTTTAAGACATGTTATAATGTTGTTATCTAATCAAAACCATACCTGGAGTGTTTTGTTTCATCAACTTGTTTAAGTAACCCTTTATTATTAATCTGTCTATATCTTCAAAGCTCAAAATGCTCTGCTTGACTTTGTGATGTTATTCAGTGGTAGTAACAAGTAAACAGCTAACTTTTGTTTAGTAGAGACTGTCAGTTCTAGATCTGAAAATATCCCAATTATTCTAGTGAATGGCCAGTGGTGTTTGGAGTTTAAAAAACAGTGGAGCACTTCCTGTATTGCCACACGGTCACAGGGTGTTTTCTGTTGAACAGAACTCAGCCAAAACATGCAGGGTTTGTGTGTTAAACATGTTAATGAAACAAATCACAATTCCGGGTATGTTTGTAATGAGGAAACATCATTTAATAGCATTATATGGGTCTTTTCAACAGTCTAACAAACTCGAGTGAGGTGGCAAACTTTTTACCCTTAGTTACTTTGTGATAGAAAGCAGCAACAATTATTGCTGCATAGCTCTTTAAAATGCAATATACAAATTAAATAACAGCAAACTTTCATTTAAACTTCTATTACAACATAGAGCTACTTGGTATGGTACTGCAATATAAATCTTTAATTCAAGAATGAGTCCAGCGCAGTGTGAAGCCCTGCTCTCACTCTACACCATTGCTCTGCGTGATTTTAACAAGCCTTTTCTGGGAACAAGTTTAATCAATACATAATAAGCTTTTCAAGGTGTCTCCTAATCAGAACAGGATGAATAATGAATACCTATTTGTGTGTGATGATTGGGATGGAAAACTCTGAGCGCTAATTGAAAGACTGCTTCTCTTTGAATTGAGGTAGCTCATGTTTACCTTTTGAAACACTCAGTAGGCTAATAGGTTGGGTTTGCATTGTAGAATTTTATGATGTTGTAATTTCAAATAGTGGGTAAGCGCTTTTGTAACTCTATTGGAGAGTTATTGTTGTTTTAAAGAAATATGCAACATAGTAATCCACAGATGTTGAACCTTATTAGTATTTCTTTGAGGTTCCATCCACTAACAATGCCATATTAATTTTAAAGTCCTTTTGACTGACAACAATTGCATAGAACTTTGCAGAACTTTGTGCCTGCTTTTACACAGTAATTACACAGATATTAACCATAATCAAGAGGGGTTTTCAGATTTTAGAAGGTGATGGCAAGAGTTTGTTTCCCATATTGTTTACACTGTACTTTGATAAAAATAAATAAATAAAATATCTAAAACAATTCACTTCACAAATGTTGAACCAGATTATCTCCACAGATCTGACCTGTAACTTGGTCTGGTTTGGTCTCCTTAAAGATAAAAACGTTTAATACCATACTGTGAACTGGTCCAAAGCAATAACATCTCCACGGAGAAAAGATTTGACAGTTCTTTCACCAGAGAGGTTCCACAATGCACCTTTAACTATAGGGGTTCTAAAATACTGTGATGTCATGAACACAACCTATTGTTTTCCCCCCAGGAAGCTGCCATGTACACCCGCCTCTTCAGATTGGCTCACCCCATCCGTGGATCAGTCGGTCACTGATATCTTCCTCAACGGCAACTGGAGCATGGCTAATCCGTCCCCCGCGTGTCAGTGCAGCACTCCTAAACGCTCCATTATGTTGCCTGACTGTCCGCCGGGAGCAGGGGGGCTTCCTCCGCCTCAGGTTAGTACAGGGACCCCAGTCTCTGCTTTGTGACAGTAACGTGTGATGCTCCGGTGCTGTTTAAGCTGCACAGCAGTACATATCATGGTGCTGTTGGGTAATCTAATAGAGTCCCCTGGCCAATGTCTTCCTTCTGTGTGGATCTGAACACATAAAAACGCTGCTAGGTTCTTCCGTGTATGAGCTTTTACCACACAAGGATTGGTGTTGAAAATCATGTGTGGGTCTCCTCCTGCCCGCCTGGTTTCCCCCATCAACCCAAAACATGCACAAATGATACTCCGCAGTGACATCACGCAGGGGATGTTCTACATGTATCTCTATTGGCAGAATGTGCAGAAGTTACAGAATGCACACACTGGGGAACACAGACAAAAAAGTTTAGTTTGAAAACTCAAGAAAAAATACAAAAAACAATCAACACATTTTCAGGTGCCTGTGATCGATATGAGCATTCTTGGTCCTGTTTAAGTGTTTCAACAAAAAGGTGAGAGTGAGTAACTGAAAAACTGTTGGCGAATGCTAACTAGCTTGTGACTGTAATGTTATTTGAGAAAGAATCACAGATTAAATAAAGACTCAGAAAGACTAATAAAGAATATATATAATTATAATAAATACTGAGATATACCTAAACATTGCAGACAAAAAATATACATCAGTTATTTTTGTTAAGACAGAAACATATTTTTACAGTTTTGTTCTTAGTATCATGTTCCACCTATAGTTTAAAAATCTCAAATCCATTCTCCCACATGTAGTTTTGTAATCTTCCTCTTTCCAGTTTTATGTAAAGAAGACTTATGAAGAGTGTTCAGTGGGACTGTAATTCTTCATCTGGTGCATTTGTTGATGCTTCTGCTGTAGATGTGTGCACTTCATGTCAATGTAAGCCCTGCCCGTTTGTTCAAACACTCTTTATTCTCCTATTGCCATTATTTGGACATTTTCCATAGTCAAAGTTTCTAAATTGCCCTTCACAAACCACTGCGTGATGTACCGATCATCTTTTGTACCATCTCGGGTGAATTGCATGGATGTGCAGTATATGTGTCGTAAAGCCAGTCACTACGGGATGTCGGTAAAAAGGAGCGAAAATAAGAAATAAATTGGTGACACAACAATACAATAAAAATGCTTATCACTGAAGCTTTTGGCTCGCAGCCCTAACGCCCAAGTCAGCATCATTTTGATTTGAAATTGTAAAGGTACTTACTAACAAGGAATTTGCATCGCATTGCAAAATGTAAATCAGCCTTTTGTGTGGCTTCTCTTTTGTGGAATAGCATACATGCTGGGCCAAAAAAAAAAGAAAATCCAGCCAATACTCTTGTCAGCAGAGGTGGGTAGTGCTTAGTTACATTTTCCTTGTACTTGTAATTAAGTAATATTATTATGTTATATGTTATAATTATTAATTATTATTATAATTGTTATAATAATATAATATTATTGATGTAAGAATACTCCTGAGTATACATTTTTTGGTGGCTCTTTTCACTTATTAAGATTAAGGTTTATGTTTACAATAGGAAATTATTTGAAAAATTGCGTGTCTTGTACCATTTCTTCCACTGTGATTTTATTTTTTTTCCCCTAATTTTTGTGGTCTATGTTTTCAAGAATATCATACTTTGTTCATTATTGTTATTATTTTGGCTGTTAACAAACATAAACATCAAACTATACATCAGATTTTATGTCCAGATAGTTACTTTTACTTAAATAGTACCTCATTTTTACTCTTGCCTGAGTAATTTTTGAACTGCTACTTTGTACTTTTACTTGAGCAGTATTATTTAGAAGTAAAAAGACATACAAGAGTACATTTTTTTGGCTACTCGACCTACCTTTGCTTGTCAATATTTAGCACAACCCACCACTGCTAAAAAATCCAATATATTACTTTCTAATCCGCTTTCACCTTGTCGCATCTTTTGGATTTTTCCAGGACTGACTTTGCAGGTTGTGTGCAGCTCATCTTCGGTCAATACCAATCACTCGCCACTTAAGGGCCATTACTTTAACAATAGATGTACTCAAATGCAACTATAGGGACCATGTTGGAAACTTGGAGAAAGGCAGACCCCACCATCTGCTGTTTTAATGCACAGAAAAAGTCTCATTTGGAGCTAAATGCCTTACTCCAGTCACACAGCAATAATAAGCCAGCCACCTGCGCGTCTGTGTGGTTAAACTGGAGATAGCTTTGTCTGTTTGCTCAGGTTTTGTGGCATGTGGCTGCATAAGTGGAGCTCACAATAGGAGTGTCCCATACTATTCAATACTATTCAATATGTGGTCTTCCTATTCCTATAAACTATACAAAGAATATATGGACATGTTTCACTGAATTAGAGTACAGTTATAGAACAGTGGAAAAATGCAATTCAGTAAATGTCACTAAGGCCATTGAAAACAAATTAATAATTTTTTTTATATCCAAAAAGTATATATATGTGTAAGACAATATTGTGTTCACTTCCAGCTTGTCTCCATGGAAGTTATATGTGTGGCATTACACTTCTAACAGTTCTAACCAGAATCCTGCACGGCAGGTACGGGCGAATAGTTGCTGAAACGGACGGGTTTTAACGTCCTGGAATTTTAAGGGGGAGTATGCGAGTGGGTAGTAATTACACAAGGGACTAATCCAGGACTCCTTAAAGCGCGTCCACAAAGTGTGATCGGGCGATGGCTATGCTTATCTCTGTGCGGCATGGAGCTCTACATCAGTTCTTTCACCTGCGGTCACCCGACGGTCTACGTGGCCGCACCTCCAAGCCTTTCCAGACAGTGAGTTCCCATTCAGTTCTGGTTTAGTCCTAGTTTAGGCCTGTTTTAGTCTTAGTTCAGTCCTGATTTAGTCCTCCTGGTTCAGTCCTGGTTTAGTCCTGGTTCAGTCCGTGGTGTGTGTGGCACAAAAGTCCGTCATCTTGATCAATGTTTCTTCTGCTCAGTAAATAATGCCTGTGAAGTGATAACAGTAGAGTCACGTCTGTGAATTTGTATTCATACTGAAGAAAGCATAACCGTTTCATTTTGTGATTGTAATTCTTGAAGTTGTAACTTTTCAATTCGTATTCTGATGGATGCTTCTGTTAGAATGCTTTTAATTTGTGTGTGATTTATCACTGGCATGGTCAGGAAATAGGTGGAATGTTAACGGGTCTGAGTGGGTGCAGGTTTAACTTTGAAATAATCACAGGTTAACGGGCGGGTGCAGTACTGTACTGTGCAGTGCGGGTCTCCAGGACTGCAGGACTCTGCTTTGAACAACATAAAATCTTATTAGGAGCTTGGTCTACTCCCCACAGATTTGACCTGTGTGCTTTGTATCCACCACCAGAAAAATGACGCGGTGCATCTTTAATCTCAACTTGATTTGACATTAATAAACAAACAAATAAATTACTTGACTACAGTATCAATACAATAAAAAAAACATGCTATTCTATTGTTGTAAAAAGAAAGCACCAACATACAAGATTCATATATATATAAAGTAGAAAATATTAAGAAATGTACCCATTTACCAGCCTTCTGCATAGCACAGTTTAAATGCAACACTTGTTTTTGCCACAGAATACAAATGTGTGCAGTGCAATGCTTATGTAACACTATTGATTCGACTCTGTCTGTCACTACACATACTAAGACCCTTTATAATGTATGTAACATAGGGAGGGACTGTGTTAACCTTCTGGTGACATTTCAGATCACAGATGGCATGTCTTACTTGATGTGTTCCACAGCCCCGAAGCCCTTTCACTGAATTAAGTTGTGAAATGACACTTCAGTGGGGAATTGTAATAACTTGAGAGCGCAAAAAACTTTGTGTGTTTAAGTTTGCTTTCAAAGACTAAGCTATTTTGTAATTTTAGTTCAAGTATGAAAGGTGCTGTTCTTGATTTTTACTGTCTGAAAATGTAAAAAACAGAAGTAGTTCATTTTAAACAGTTTGCGGTGGCCCAAAGTTATTCCTCACTTTCCTTTTGCATTCCAAGAATCCTGATTATTCACCGTGATGAGTTTATAAGCACTTCACAACTGAGTCCTGATCTTGGGACAATAAACTGCAGTACACAGAGCTTTCATTTTGACCTCAAGACTTATTTATACCAGATTATAGCTAAATGGCTAGTTTACATCTGCAGTCCTTGGTTTACAGAAATAAATTATATAATGCAATTAGTCAACAATAAGAACAATTCACACTGGTCTGTCTCAGACACACACAGCATATCACACATTAACAGCAAAGCATTCAGTATTTACAGCATCACACAAGTCGGGAGATTGTTCCACTCCTTTATCGCGTTATAAGGGAAGGATGTTTGTGGGAATGAGGTTTTGCATTTTGGAAGGATACACTGCCCCCTTGTGGAGGCATGTGTGGCTCTGGTTGTCACTGCAGAGGCGGATTGGACAAAGCGTTGAAGAGGTGTGGGGGTGCAATCGAACTGAAGCTAGTCTTTGTATAATGTCGAAGTTGAGCAGTCTATCTTTGTAAGATATGGCAGTGGTGTTGTTGTGATGGTTTCTGGTCTAGGATTTTTAAGGCTTATGCTTATGGAGTGATTTCAGTGGTTTCGGGGTAGTTTTGCCTGTCTGATACCAGTAGGTTATACTGTGATAAAAACGAGACAAATCGTTGCATCGAAAAAGGTTTGAGATGCATCTTGTGTTAGTGAGTTCCTGATCCATTTGAATGTTTTGATGTTGTATTTCAGGCTTTGGCACATCAGTTTGATGTGTTTTTTAAAGGTGAGAGTGTAATCTAGGGTGATCCCCAAGTATCTGAACTCTGTCGCATTTTGTATCACTTCCCCATTTACAGCTACATTAGGGAAAGAGGTGTTTTTACGTTTGTGACAAAATATAGCTGCAGTTTTCTTTACGTGTAATGTGAGACATGAATCATCTAGCCACCTTGTGACTAAGTATAACCACTTGGTGAAATATCTGACTTTGTCTCCTGTTTAATTTTTGCTGTTTTT